AAAGATGGCTGACGGGGCAGCAGACTTACATAAATCATGGGACAGGATGCAGGATACAAGGAGCAGAACAGGCATCACAGTGACACAATGACCAGACAATGAGGGACACAGGCAAACAGACTTAAATACACACACACTAACGAGACTAACACAGAACACCTGTGAAACATCACAGGTGCAGACATCAGAGGGGGAGCAGACAAATATAGAACACTAGAGGGAAACAGAGACCAGGGAACGCACAACTCCTACAGAGTAATCGTCATTCAAAGTCATAAACATTGGTGATTCTGTGTCTCTCAACTGTTTTTAAGAAAAATATGTCATGAATGGAGACATTTTAATGACACTGTCAGTAATCCGGCGTCTCAGGGGGGGAAAGCGGTATGCCACCAACACTATTTGTAGTGGAGGCGGTATGCTGCTGACCTCAACTCGGGATGTCATGGGTTGGTGGGCGGAATACTTTGAAGACCACCTCAATCCCACCGGCACGTCTTCCACTGAGGAAGCAGAGCCTGGGGACTTTGGGTTGGGTTCTCCAATCTCTGGTGCTGAGGTCACCAAGGTGGTTAAAAAGTTCCTCGGTGGCAAGGCCCCAGGGGTGGATGAGATTTTCCCAGAGTTCCTTAAGACTCTGAATGTTGCGGGGTTGTGTTGGCTTACACGACTCTGCAATATTGCGTGGACATCGGGGGCAGTTCCCCTGGATTGGCAGACTGGGGTGGTGGTCCCCCTATTCAAGAAGGAGGACCGTAGAGTGTGTTCCAACTACAGGGGGATCACGCTCTTAAGCCTCCCTGGTAAGGTCTATTCAGGGGTTCTGGAGAGGAGTGTCTGTCAGATAGTCAAAGCTCAGATTCAGGAGGAGCAGTGCGGTTTTTGTCCTGGTCATGGAACACTGGACCAACTCTACACCTTCAGCAGGGTCCTGGAAGGTGCGTGGGAGTTTGCCCAACCAGTCTACATGTGCTTTGTGGACTTGGAGAAGGCGTTCGACCGCGTCCCTTGGGGAACTCTGTGGGTGATACTCTGGGAGTATGGGGTACCGGGCCCTTTGATACGGGCTGTTAGGTCCCTGTATGACCTGTGTCAAAGCCTGGTCCGCATTGTCGGCAGTAAGTAAGGCTCGTTCCCAGTGACAGCTGGACTCTGCCAAGGTTGTCCTTTGTCATAGATTCTGTTCATAACTTTTATGGGCAGAATTTCTAGGTGCAGCCAAGGTGTTGAGGGGATCTGTTTTGGTGGCCTTAGGATTGCTTCTCTGTTTTTTGCAGATGATGTGGTCCTATTGGTTTCATCAAGTCGTGATCTACAGCTTTCGCTGGAGCGGTTCACAGCCGAGTGTGACGCGGCCGGGATGAGGATCAGTTCCTCCAAATCCGAGGCCATGGTCTTGAGCTGGAAAAGGGTAGAGTGCCCTCTCTGGGTTGGGGAGGAGGTCCTGACACTGGTGGAGGAGTTCAAGTATCTCGGGGTCTTGTTCACGAATGAGGGAAAAATGGAGCGTGAGATCAATAGGCAGATAGGTGCAGCGTCGGCAGTGAAGCATGTGCTGTACCGGTCTGTTGTGGAGAAGAGAGAGCTGAGTCAAAAGACAAAACTCTCAATTTACCGGTCGATCTACGTTCCTACCCTCATCTATGGTCATGAACTTTGGGTTGTGACCGAAAGAACGAGATCACGGATACAGGCGGCCAAAATGAATTTTCTCTGCAGGGTGTCTGGGCTCTCCCTTAGAGATAGGGTGAGAAGCTTGGTTATCCGTGAGGGACTCCGAGTAGAGCCGCTACTTCTCCACATCGAGAGGAGCCAGTTGAGGTGGCTCGGGCATCTGGTTAGGATGCCTCCTGGACGCCTCCATGGTGAGGTGTTCCGGGCACGTCCCACCGGGAGGAGACCCAGTGGAAGACCCAGGACACACTGGAGGGACTATGTTTCTCGGCTGGCCTGGGAACGCCTTGGGATTCCCCCGGAGGAGCTGGCCCAAGTGGCTGGGGAGAGGGAAGTCTGGGCCTCCCTACTTAAGCTGCTACCCCCACGACCCGACCACGGATAAGCGGAACAGGATGATGGATGTCAGTAATCGTTGCAGTACATCTACAACTATTAACTTATGGTGTAAACTTTTACTCTCATTTCTCTTCTTTTTTTTTCTCGACTGAACAACATTAAAAACAATCTCAAGACATCTTAAAACTCTAGGAGATGAAGCTTTCTGCATAGCTCTTACTACATTTTACACATTTATATTACTTTTCTGTAGTCAATAAGTTTCTGTAGAGCTGTTTCAGTTTAAAATCATTAGGACAATAATTTAACATCACAACAGAAAATTTATAAATCCTGTATTTTTTATTCATATGGTAAATTTCAAATACCACATTTTAAAATTAGAATAGAAAGCCACATAATTTAGTAAAATATAGATTTATTAATAACAGTCATTTCAGGAGCATTATTATTGCATTCATGAATGTTTTATTGTGTATTAATGACTTAGAAAAATTATTGTCTCATACCAACTAAAATAACACTTTCGTCAAACTGGGATGGGTGTGGTGTTTGTCTTCCTTATACAGCATCAGGACTGGGACAGTCAGAACTGTGCAGATATGTTGCTGCGTCTTTCCGTTCCTTCCTTTGCTATTTTCACACTTCAGCACAGCCAGCTGTTGCTTCTTCATTCATTTACTGTAACACTCTGCAAGAAAGGTTAAACAAACAGAGACAGAGGGAGTTATGTAATTAATATGTTCACACAGATGCTCATGCATTTCAGAGAACATTACACTGATTTATTTTTATTTCATGTTAATAAAATGTAACTATTTGTCACTAAGTGGAGACAAGTTTGCAGAGTCCTGTCCTAACAATATAAAGAATGCATTTGACAACTCACCTTAAAACATAAGACCTGGATTTTGTTGCTTCTTTAAAGACACTGTAGGGAAGATAATTAAAGATGAAAGTTAAATTGGGTCCTTAAGGTAGTAATAACCACTTCAACCAAGATCATTCATTCATTCGATGTTTATTTATACAGGTTAGTCTCACTGAGTCACAGGGACTCATTTACAAGAGAGACCTGTTTTAGATAGACAATCTATAAAGTGCAGACAACAATAAACTACAGTAAAAATGCAATTACAATAAAAGTAGTGTTATAAAAAAATAAATCAAGAGTTTGATATGAAAAAAGTCTGACTGAATGATGTCAAACGCAAACTGTAGAAGCTGGAAAACCTTGGCAACGGTGTTTGCTCAGCAATAAACAGTAGTATTGTCAGCATATAGATGCAAGGATGTGTCAGGAATGTTTTGACCTACATTATTTTTATAAATTGTAAAAAGAGTGGGTCCTAAAACTGAGCCTTGTGGCATACCATTAGTGACCGTTAGGTAGCTAAATGAAGTACCATTATGTCAAACACATTGCCTCCGACCTGAGAGATAGTTTGAGAACCAAACAACAGTGTGATCTGAGAAGCCATTATCTTTGAGCTTGTGGTATAAGCTGTCATGATCCATAGTAAGCTTTGGACTGGTCTAAGTAAAGTGCAGCACAGTAATCCTTAGCATCCAAAGCTTCAACAACATCATAAAAAACCTTTAACGAAGCAGTCATTGTGCTGTGTTGTTTCCTGAAGCCAGATCGGAGGGAAGATAAAATATTAATAATATTAATATTGAATCCAAATAATTCTTGACTTGACTATTCAAGGATCATTTGGGTAGATTGTGTTAGGATTTTTTAAAGATTTCCATTTCTGCAAGACCCAAAGAGTACCCTCCATCAAGGATTATCTGTTCTGGTTTTGTCCTCTTAACCAGCCCTGTCTACTCATTGTAATGTGAAGACTTTGGTTGTATGTCAGAACATCTGGAGTCATTTTTAGAAGCTGATGCTGTCACCCAAAGGCACATCCTGTCTGATTATTAATTTTCCTTCTTGAGAGGATTTTAGCTGTAGCTTAGATTGTTCTTTAAATTAATTTAGTGATTGCTTTTGGAAAGCAGAGGACACTTCAAGACCTCCAGTTTAATAGTTCAATTAAAAGACACTGGTTACACATTTGCTGTGTAATTGTTGTACTAGTCTTTACCTCTGGACATTTTGGTTTATTTCCCCTTTTCTTTGTTAGCTTCTGGAAGAATAACCTCTGTTGGAAGAGAAATGCAGAATAAAGATTATTTTCTAATGGATTTACATAGGATACACCACAACAACACAACCCTGAACAAAGTAAAGATTGGAAGCCTTTGGATACATACGTTTGACCTCCAGTTTGCAGGATACAGCGGCTTCTCCCTGGGCGTTCTTGGCTCTGCAGGTGTACACACCACCATCAAAGCTGCACGGCTTACGGATCTCGAGGGAACAAATCCCCTGGGTGGAAATCTGACGAAACTTGGGGTCATTACCAATGATCATCTGATTCTTTAACCACTCGATCTTAGGCTGTAAGAGGGGAAAAGTTATTTAATAACTTGATATGTTTTTAAACTTTACATGGTGTAAAAACCTATGCTGTGACAAATGAATAAAAACCATCAACCCATGTTTATGACTAGCAACTGTGCGGTTACTTTTATGCCTTCGGTTTAGCACATAATGTTATTGCTGAACAATATAAAGTTCTTTTTACACCAAGTCAACATGGTTTTATTTTTAAAATAGGGGGAGCATTGCATTTGAGTCAGGCAGGTGGTAAAAGTGATAAAGGTGGAAGGAAGGAGCACCCTCTTAAATGGAGAGCAACGCGTTTGTGATGGGAGGAGGAGACACCTCAGTCACAGACAACCTATCAGCACAATCTAAAATGTATTGCGTCTTTTAACAGCTGACAGCATAAAAGTGCAACATGGACAAACAATATCACTCGTTATTTAATGCAGGGTATGTGATTTATTAAAATTACATACTGTACAATTAAATTTACACTTTTCTAATCATGGGGGTCCAAGTTTATGGAAATACCCATGCACTCTGAACATACACTTCAAAACTGTCAACAAATATCCATAAAATACATTCAGTGCTAAGTGATAAGTATTGTTTTCAGATTAAACATTACAAAACAGACTAATAAACATTTAAGCTGCTGTAAAGCAACAACCCATGATTTCTACCTTCCACGTTACCCTTCTTTTGCTTTTCTCACAACACTCGCTTTTATCCAAAGCTTGCTTTAGTGTTAATACTGCTCAGACTATAAATGAACCATGAGCACCAAACCAGAAACCTGACATCCTTCCTCTTTTTGTTCTTTCATTATTAAACTTAATCCAAGTTTGGAAAAGTTACATTGCCAGTGATTCAATGAATCAAACCAAAAATGGTCATCATGTCAAACACTAAAGCTCACAAACTCCCAGCATGTGTTAGGGCTGTCATTGCAAGCGTGCAAGTATGCTAACATTAACACATAGCTCAAAGTGCCATCAGCGGCTATGCACTGTCTAAAATGACTGCAAGCACTTCCTGCAGACATGTTATTCAAATAACAGAGTTAAGTGGTTAAACCAAGACAGTGTGAACGAAACGATTCATCCCCTACTTTTATGTCAGTGGACGAGACAGAGATTGTCTTTGACACTGATAAAGGAAGAGTCTGGACTGGTGGCAAAAATAGGACCTACTGTGATACGGAAACATATCCATGTTAACATGACAGTCCATCGAGCTTAACTTCTTATCTGTCTCTTTTGTGTGCTCTGCTCCTCTCTCAGCTTCTAATGTTGTCCCTTCTCTGTGTGTGACAACTCTTTATCAGAGACAGATGGACAACTTATCAGTCTACTGGCTTTTCTGCTGTCCCTCGTCAACGATGCTCCAAAATCTATAGCACAGAGGAAAGCAGGCCCAAGAGGTGAATATATACAGCCCACCTGGAATGGGATTTTGGTGGACTGGTACCATTTTGTGAGTATATCAATAAATTCAAGGACAAATGGTACCACTAGTCCGTTACTATTTATCACCTGTTTGACTACCTTTGAGCTTAGAACAAGAGTTGCCCTGAAAACCACAAGTAAATGATGAAATAAAAACATTTAACTGAAAATTTCATATTGAGAAGGAACTTGCACAGAATGTGCTGTTGCACTTTATTTCTTAACTATATTTATTTAGCTGTGGCGTTATAAAACAGCTTTACTGTGCACATCTAGCATCTTACCACACAGTAAAGCTGTAGCAGAAGGGTATAATAACCTTAACTGTGAGATTAGAGGGGGCACCTGAAATAATCACATTAGTTCATTTGAACAGATAAAGTGCAAAATGAAGTGAGCAATAGAGTCATGGCTGATGTCGTCAGAACAATGGAAATAACTGAAGCTGCTGTAAAATAAGAGGTGTATCTTAGTTTGGTTTCAAATATTTATGAACTGTATGACTTAAGGGCTCAGCTTCATACCCTAATGATGCATATTAATAAGTCATATAATTAGGTTTTCTTTTCAGTTATAGAGTATTGTCAAATATATCATTAAGTATCTGTACTGATAAGAAATAAAAAATGTAATTTATGAAAAGAAAGTTAGAAAATTTACTTAAACAGGACTTTTTTGATCAATGCACCTCTGAGCACTGACCTTGGGACTTCCTCGAACAGAACACAGCAGCTTGGTTGTGTATCCCACGGTGGCTGCACGGTCGATGAGGGGGGTGGTGAACTTGGGTGCCTCACTGAAGTCATGTTCCTGGTACCCAGGAGGTTTGTACACAATACCTGTATTACATATAAAATTACATCTGAGTATCATTTATTAAATACTGATACAATACTAACAAAAGCCTTTATGAAACTTAAACTTATCATTAGTGGTTCTTTACAAGTGACCACTCTATGGGACATTTGAACACAATGATTACCTTTAACTTTTTATGAAAGAAAGGGACATATTTATTCTAAAAAAAATAATTGTTAGCTGTGGTTGATATTTAATGTGCACATGTTTTGTTTGCTGTGAGGGCAATTGGATGGTCTTTTTTTTTACATATTTGTACAGTTTGTGCACATTTTACTAGGAGAACAAATATTTATTATTGCCGTGTGAGCAAGTCGAGGAATATTTTCAACATTTTATTGTGAAAAAATCAGGTGAAAATTGACAGAAAACTTGAAATTGAAAATGCCTTCTCACATTATGCTTCAAGCTGAAGTCTACAGGCTAAGACTCAAATATAGCCTAGCTTAGATAGCCCCAATAATACTAGAACACAGATGTAGCAGCAACTCCAGTAAGCTGATGGTCATCCAACACCAAAGGCGGAAGATGAAAACACGTGAAGTTAACTAAAGCAATTTCTTTAACATTTATTTGACCAAAAATCCATTTGATTGATAAAAATCAAGGAAGGTACAATATGACTTTTTTCCTTTTAAAAACACATTATTGTTGCAACTCTGTTATAGATTGTATGTGATCAAACTGTATCATTCTTTTGGTATTCAGCCAGTACTTTTAATGTACAAAACATAAAGCCATCTGACACTTAAACCACACAGTCTACAAAATGCACAGACAGATGGTCATTTCTCAATATGAGTAAATATAAAACTCACCCACACACACCCCCATACACATACAAACATGGCACTGCAAGAGGTTGTAATGGTTTCACATGGTGTTAAATTCATGTGAAAGCTGAACACCGGCCAAGAGTGTTACCCACTCAGGTTTACAAGTAATTGCCAAGGTCATTTCAACTCCTCAAGCGATCGCTTTAAACACTTACAGACTAACTGCAGCTCATTATTGTGTCCAGCAGGGCTGCAGCCCAGTCACTACACCCATCTTCATATAAACAATCAAATCCAGAGCATAAAAGTAAGACATGTAAAGTCACCTGTTTTCTGGATTGTGGCCGTCTCCTTGGTGACAGCACTCATCTCGCCCCGGCCCACTTGGTTCTCAGCGAACACCCTGAAGAAGTATGAGTTACCCATGACGAGGTCTGAGATGGTGACAGACAGTCGGTGGTAGTGCTCCAGCACTGTGAACCATTCCTGCAGAAGGTGGGCACACAATGCGGGTGTGTAAAATTAAAGTTATTACTACAACTGATCCAGTTTGGTAGTTTTGTGACCTGTTTAATTAGTTGCTTTTTATTTGTTTGCTTCTTTATCTGACTTTCTAGCAAAATCTCTCAAAACTCTCAGTCAGAATTGAATGAGCATCTACATTTAATGAACAACTCAATTCAAGATAGCTGCCACAACTAATGGACAAACACAAACAACGCATACACACACAAAAAAAAAAAAACTCATTTATGTTTGGTGGACAATATGCATTCCTTCAACTATTTCTAATTTTATGTAAAGCTGTTCTTATAGTGAGCATGTACCATTGTTTTCTGATCAGCCTTCTGGACAGTGTAACCAGTGATATCTGAGTTGCCATCATCCTTGGGGGGAGTCCACTCCAATGCAGCGTTGAAGCCCCATGTATCTACCAGCTTCATGCTTGCAGGAGCACCAGGGAGCTCTGCGGACATGTACTTTACTGTCAGTATACTATAAAATATTCATATCATAACCTTAATGTAACACAAGATAACACAAGTTATTAATGTGAATATCGTTAGAGGTGAAATCTGCTGTTGGAGCAAGTTGCCAGGTTCAGATCCAAGAAGTCAACATGTCAGCTTCATCAGGAAGGTCAAGTAAACATGCTGAATCCAAATATTTCTTGTTTATAAGGTCCAACTATGTCTCATATATGACTCACCTACAATCTGAAGGGTGAATCTTGCTTTGTCTTCAAAGCTGTCCACTTTAACCATGATTTCATAAACACCAGAGTCCTCCCTCTGACCGCCGCGAATAAACAGGATGCTGTCCCTGTCAGTGCTCCTGATGTTGACTCGTTTCGTATCCAAAGGCTGACCATCCTTGAGCCAGGTCACTACAGGTTTGGGCTTACCCTGAGAAGTGGATTCAAACAGCCCAAAATAAAAAGTTAAATGTAAGTTTTTATCTGGGAGAGGCTTTCATTTCTGTGTGCCAGCTTACTATAAATGGGATGACCAGGTTGATCTGCTCCCCAACCTTCTTGATGTATCGGGACCTGAGAGCTCGAGGCAACCGGATCTTGGGTCGATCTGAAATGTGCAGGCAAACACATTTATTCCCTGTCTCATCCACCTATTACTTAAATTCTTATATATTTGAAGTCACTCATTTTCAGCATTCACTATAATTACCTGCCAACAACACACAGAGAAACAAACTTTGTGGTGTAAATATCTAAGAATCATATTAAACTTTTAAAGTTTCAGAGTGGATGAACAAAACGACAGTATCTGGGCAGGGAGAGAAGGAATACAGGAAAACCCTAAATTCATCAGCTCCTAAAATAGCTAAGGTGACAAGAACGTCTTGGCTGAGACCTTGCACATGCACCCTTGAGTCATGTGCAAAGACTCTGCTAGAAGACGTCACATCCAGAGTCAGTTACAACGAGTGCCACTCGGTTTTTTCCTGTGAACAGAATCAGCTGCGTGAAACTGCATCGTGTGGGACTTAGTGCAACATCCACACCGTCAGTATGCAGGCTGGTTTTGCTCGAGTATCATGAACAGCATCCTTTACATGATTCTGCATAAGCAGCAAATGTCTCAAAAGCTCTGTGGGCTTAAAAGAAATATTAACTCGTCTCCCTCCTGGTGTTTCTGCTGGTCATCTGAAAACACCCTCCGAGCTCACTGGCTTCCCCTTCATCTTCCTCTAACAGCTCTATTTTCTCCCTGTCTTGCCCAGCATGTCTTATCAGCCCTTGTCCTAAACATTTGTCACCATATCATTGTTGCCAAAGCCAGGATCCGGCTTCTGAAGCCATCGTTTCCCAGGAAGATCAGGTCTGCCTCCAGATTTAACTCAAACACTGATCCCTGATAATCAGCAAACCTGCCAGCAATGCTCAGGAGCGTTGCTGGAATTATAACATCCAGCAGCAACTGAGTGCTACTGGAAACAATCTGTAATCTGTCTTTGTCTCTGGATAAAAGGTCTTTGTGTGTGGGCTATACATGTAGTAGTCTTTCAGCACATGTAGGACAGTTTGTCTTCATCAGCTTGTGCATGTGGCGGCGTGACTGACGCAGAGCTGAATATACCACCCAGAATCCATCAATTAGGTTCATGTTTCACTCCTCTCAGTTGTCCAGCACTTCTGTTTGTATGACCGCACTTGCCCCTCAAAAGGTTTTTCATGTGTTGCCAGTGGTTTGAATCACAACCAGGAAACACAGAGACAAGAGCTGTTCATGTGAAAGTGAATGTCAGCTCAGGCTGACACCATATCAAGGCAGTGTAGTGTTTGGGCCTTCAAACACACTGAATGTGCATTTAAAGCTGTATCTATTATTACACCTTAAAGCAGGAGCAACAGAAGTAAATGGAGGACCATCTCTCTTAAAACAGAGATATTTCATTGCAATGAAATTTCTTCCTGGATAAATAAAAGACATATGGAAGAGTAAAGCAAAAATCATATTTAAAAAAGAGAAATGAAGAAAAAAAATGTTACGTTAAAGACAGTAACCATTATTCATCTGTAGCACTTGTTGGTGTTGCTCAAACCCAAGACATACCAATCAAAACCAATGCAGTCATGTTCTTGTTTTTAGTTTTTTACACCGTCCTACAACCTAGCAGGTTTTTTGTTACTTTTTCTTTTAAATACCGTTTTATTTTCACTTGTTAAAAAAAAAAATCTCAATTTGTATGCATCCTTTATGATAGCCTATTATTGTCTTTGTTGTCCACTGTTGACCTCACTCTGTGTTAAAATCAGGTCTCTCTTGTAAATGAGTCCCCAAGACTCAATGGGATTAACCTGTATAAATAAAGGTTGAATGAATATGCTTATATATTTTTAGTGTTTTGATATTCAAGTGGAAAAAACTCACTGTATTTCAAACTAATTTTTAAGGTGATGCAAATAATTGTTCTTAACTGTAATTGTAAAGGTTGAAAATTGTGAGACTGAACTGACATGAGTGCTCATTTGAAGAAAAAAAACAAGAAGAAATTCAGAATCAATGTCATCTGGCGGTAATTATCCAGTAGATATTGGAAATGAATGGCTATCGGCCGGTAGCTCTCACCCAGATAGTCGCTAAATGCTTTGAAAAACTGGTCATGACCCACATCAAAACAACCATCATCATCAACGAGGACCCTCATCAGTACAGTCGATCAACAGAGGACACCATCTCCTCTGTGGTCCACACTGCTCTCACTCAATTGGAGCAGATGGACTCCTACGTTCATATGTTCTTTGTGGACTTCACATCTGCTCACACAGACTCAGGTTCATGCTGATGTTGTTTTGGCGTATTGTTTTTGTACCATTAGTGCTTAGTGCATTCTTAATTTAGTGAATGTAGTTTATTCTAGTAGTTCAAATAGTAGAAATAGCAGTAGTAGTTCATGTCTCGGATCTGACTGCTGTTCTTCTTTACAATTTGTATTTTTGTTGGATGTACCGGTAACTGGGACCCTGTGTACATAGTTTTGTTCCACCTCATATATCACATAAATTCCTAAACACAGCAAATATACATACATACATACATATATATATATATATATATATTAATATATAATATATTAATGTCACAAAATAACAACGTCTATCAAGTTCCATAGCTCCCATGTTAAATTAGGTGTGTTCACTTTTTTCTCAAGTAAAGTTGAAGGAAACTTTCTCAAAGCAGCGTAAAGGATCTAATTTGAAACAACTGTTTTGGGGACTAAAAAATTAGGTGATGACATACAGTCAATTGGTTGTTAAACAGTGAGTAGTATATGCTTTTTAAACAGAATTTATATAAAAAAATAAAGAAAGAAAAAGAAAAAGAGTGCTATTCAAGATTTTATTTTGTATCACCATGCACTTAAAGACACATGACTGATGATCCCTTCTGTAGGCAATCAAGTTTAAAACTTGGAAAATGTCTGAACTTGAACTGAAAATATTTCCATTTGTATTGACAAAAGACAACTCAGTCAAAGATACTGTGTTGATAAAAACACCGTTACTAATTAAGACAATAATGAAGGCAATATCTGATAAGAATTTTTCTTTAAATGCACTCTTCCACAAATACAGATGTTTGGATTTCTATGTCAAATCAGGCAAAGTGAGAAAAATCTTTAGGAACTGCAATAGGAGGAAAAAGTTAGGAAGAGTTCTTGTGCATCTTTTTTTTAGACAACTCTTCACATCTGAGTTAAATAAAACCTTTTACTTCACGTCCTTTAGCCCCCCCCCCCCCCCCCCATCCCCACCCCTGCATGTATTAAGTCACCTAACCAAACCTGTGTGACAAATTAGACAGGCCAGAGCAGCCACTGTTATAAATACACTGGCAGGGAGTCTGCAGTGACAAGGGTAATGTCAGTAAATTACACGACAACCAAAAGGCTCATTACCCAAATGTTTTCTTTGCTCGACTGATGCTGCCATTAAATCATCCTGGAGACTGACAGCAGCAGACCCTTCGAGGACGGATCATCTCACTGCAGCACTCAGGACTGATGGAACTTTCGTCAGTATCGTCTGAGCTCAAAGGGATCCACTGCAGTGTTTGAATCTCACCCAACGGGGCTCACTTTTATTGAATATGGGTCATTATGCCATTCACGCAAGGACCATTTTAAAATACTTATAAGTTGTTTAAAGACATTTATTAAATTCAAATACATTTCCAACTGGTTATAAACACTAAATTTAGGAATTAAGAATTAGTTGCTGTTTTAAAGAAAAAGAAAAATCACTTTTAAATCCGAACTCTCGGTGGTCATTTGTGCTGAAACCTGCATGTGAAGGTTTCAAAGTGAGGGCTTGATTTACAGCTAATGAAAGCACCTGTCAGCACCTGCAGGGTTTATGTGCAGTTCATCTGAGGCTGGCACCTAATACCACCTCCACCTTTGCTGCTTGCAGCCAGAGTATTTTAAGGATCAGTCATAAGTTAGAGCTATCGGAGAACTCTTGACAGACATTTTATAAGTTGGCTCTACACCATAGAGATTCAGAACTTTAGGAATTTCTGCACAGGACATGTCATACAGTTAGCCTTGCAGCGCAACAGATTATTTAGGTGACGCTTATTGTAAAAATAAGAAAAACTTAATAAGTTAGAAGTCCTTGACCCAAAGTGGTGTGATGTGTTACTCACCAACTATTTCCCGAATGGGCACAGGCTCGGGAAGCACACCGGGTTCACTTCGCCCTCCAGAGTTTACAGCCACCACGCGCACACGCAGCACGTCACCTGCTGTCAGGTTCCTGATGCAGAAGCGGTTAGCTGGGGTCAGCTCCTCATTAGCTACAATCCACTCAGTCGCTGCAGGGAAGCAGAAGATTTATGCCTTTTAGGAGCAATTTACACTTTTAAGTGTGTTTGCATTACACGTGGTTAAAAGAACAAGGTGTGAATTAGCTCATGGGTTAATTTCTCATTTCCAAAATGTTAAACACTTCTCAATGGGGCATGTTAAGTGGTTTATCACCTGTCGACACACAATTTCACAAACAACCTGCCCATAAAGAGTACAGTAAGAGCCAACATGATGACATTCTAGATGGCACGCATGCCATCTGAGCAATAGAGCACTTCTAAATGTGGTATCAAGGGATACAGTGAGAGACAGCCGCTGAACTGATGCCTGCCGTATACGGTCTACACCCAGCAATGAATCTGTCTGCCCTCTGACACTCTGGGGACAGGTGCAGCTACTCAACATACACACACAGACTTACCTCCATCCTTACAGTACTCGACAGCGTATCCATTCAAGCCAGACTCTCCCACAGTCGCTGGAGTTGTCCACTGAATGGTGAGGCTGCAGTCGTTAACATCGTCCACAGACACATCCAGAGGAGCACTGGTGGGAGCTGTAAACAGTGAAGTCATCACTATGAATGATAAGCTGGAGAAACAGGGAAATGTTCTCATTTCTGCAATCTGAGAAGAATATGCCTTATGAATCATTCTGCAGATTTTGACATAAAAGGCATTTGTCTTGTTTTGTTCATGTGCATTTTTTTTTTTATTTTGACTGGGCTAACCAAGCTGGCAGATATGTTGGTGTTACCTGCAGGAGGAGGAGGTGTAGGGGCTTTAGGTGGCACCTCAACTGCATCAGCTTCTGCAGGCGCAGCTGTAATTCAACAAGCAGGAAGTCAACCCAGAGCATCTTTTCCCACAAACTCAGACTGCAGAGATAACTAACTTAGTAGTCACTCCATCACCATTTGTAACACAATGACCATTTTATGTGTATTAATGTTGTGTTTTGTACGTTTACCATCCGTTGGAGCATCTGCAGCTGTAGCAGTATTATCTTCAACAGTGGGAGCCGAAGCTAGCATTAAAATGCAGTTAGAGAAGCCAAGAAAACATAAAACTGGTGCATGAAATCAACATGTCTTTTTGCAAATTTGATCAAAGACTACATGGCATAAAGCTGACAGAGAGAAACACAACAGATGACAGGCAGTAAACACAAATAGTGTGATGTGTGGCACATGCCAGTCAGCAAGTCTTATATTACAGCTTGTGTGTGAGTGTGTGTTGACTCATAAGTTTGTGGTGGTGAACCTGCTTCTTCCTTAGTGATATCAGCTGAAGTTAGAGGCTGAGGTTAGCAGGCAAAAATCCCTAAACCCATCAACGATGACAACCACCATTGAAATACAATATGCTAATAAAAATATTTGCATGAGAGCAAAACAGGAGGCATTATGCTGCTTGAAACAAAACCATAAACATACAGACATCAGACATTAAATATACATGAAGCAAACATCAGGGGTGAGTCCAGCTATTTACAGCCCACAGACATCACATGCATTCTGCTCCTCTACTTGTTTTATTTGCAACTGTTTCTGCAAGGAAAAGCAATGTTCTTTGTACCTGCAGACTTTTAAATGGTCTCCATGTGAACTGTCTTGGCACATTAAGGAATCAACAACAGATTCTGAAATAAAACTGTGACTGAAAGGCCTCTCACAATTCTAAGTACTTTTCTATTGTGTAAAATTGCAAAGCATTAACCGTCAATAAACAAAATACTTATTGTTGGCTTTAAACTTAAAGCTCAGCAGTAAATAAAGGCTTCGTTTGACAGGATTGGGCATTTTGATTTTACAGCTGAAGCTGTTTTTAGTTATCTGAGCAGCCTTGACATCCTTAGTCAATAGTCTGCAGCTTTTGGTATCGACTCTAAAACTCAGACTCCTTTGCAGTTTTTAGGGGCTTTGTAAATGAAGATCAGATAACTTGCAGCATGACTTTGGCACTGATACAGCTGCATGTTAGTGTAGGAAACAATCTTGCATAAAGTTTTGTTTATGTGCACATTTAACAGGGTGCATGCATGATATTAAAAAATATAATTCAGCCTTTGGTAAAACATTCTGTGTGACTTTAATAATCATGTTGAAGATGACAGGTTGTGGTATTGATAAGTATAATACAGACAGATCAACCTCCAAGAGTCATTCAATGCACGTCTAGACGACTTTAGAAAAACTAATTGATTGTCATTTCTTATTTTTCTAATTCTAAATGTGAACAATTGGTCTCCTTGTTTTCTGTGAGGTGTTCAGATACCTGGAGTTGTTGCTTCAGCCGTGCAGTTCTCCTCTGCAGGAGCCTCTGGAGCTGCTTCCCCCCCGGCTGCAGGAGCTGCCTCAGCCGGTGTCTCAGCAGGTGGAGCGGGCTGAGGCTCCGGGGCAGGCTCAGGTGTCTTCTCTACAGCCTTCTTGGCTGGAGACTTTTTAATGGGAGCAGGTTTGCTCGGCATAGTGCTGACAGATTTGTTCTGTTTCAGGACCCAGAGCAGTCCTCACTAACACAGATATGTATACTGGGAGAGAGAAAGAGAGAGAGAGTTGGAGGGTTTGTGGAGAACTCCACCCATCATCAAACCCTCCCACTCACTTCAGTCACATCTGTCTGTGTCCACTTGCAGACCACATTTCTGTGGATGCCCATTCCAGCCACAAAAAATAAAAAAAGATCATGACATGCTGTGACTTAACATCTCATAACCTTGAGATGCAAATTGGTAACTCATAAATACTCTATGTATTATGAGATGCTAAATTGTAATTTTGAGCTTGTCCCTCCTCCATCTATCCATTTTATTTACCTTTTTTCCCTGCCTTGGTCTTGGGGAGCTGCTGCCTCTCCCCAGCAATAATTCATGGGCAGTGTATGCCCTGGACAGGTTGCAAGTTCATTCTCAAAGTTAAGACTTCTGATTTTTTTAAATAAAGTGGCAGGAATAAGCTTCTACAAAACACTGCAAATGATGCAGTCTGATGAAAGAAAGAAGAAAAAATAGAGGCTGTACTGCAATTTATCTTCCAAATAGACATTCATACAAATTTTTAAAAATCTGTTGGAATAGACCATGCTTTCTATTATTATAAGCTTTTTAAACATGAACTAATGAGAAACATCAGCTCTAGGAAAAGTTTCCTATTTAATAAATTTACTTTGACTTTCATTCTGAGTAGGTTTTAAATTGTATACTGTTGCCTACAGTGATGTTTATCGTGAATTTTCTTAGACCATTTTTCTCAAAATTATATTTTTGTTTTAGGTTTAAACATCTCTTCCTGCTTTTTAGATTTGTAATCAAAGTTTATTTATTTGTTATTTAAAAAAATGATATGGCTTTATTTTCAGCATAATAGGCTAACTATCTATCTATCTATCTATCTATCTATCTATCTATCTATCTATCTACTACTTTCATGTAAAAATTGTATGCTATAATAAAAATTACAAAAATTAACTTCTGGACCTCTCATGTGTCGAAACCAGCCTATGTGTTACTTTTTTGGTTTGGTATCATTTTATTTGCATAATTATCAATCAATCAATCAATCAATTCAACTTTATTGTCCATAACATTCAATGAAATGGAGATTTGTCTTTGACATATGGCTTATAAAACAAAATAAAAATGTGATTAAAACTCTAAAAAACTTAAAACCAAACTTTGCTAAATCAATTTAAAACATTCAGTTAAAACCATTCTAAAATACACAATACATTAGAATATGAAAACATCTTAGCAGACAGTGGTTTGTTATGTGAGGCTGCGTTTAAATAGAACCTTGTTAAGTACATTCACCGCAGAGGGAACAAATGACTTTTTGTACCCGTTTTTCTTTGCTAAAGGAACCAGGAGTCTTCTACCAGATGGTACCAACCTGAATAATGGTTGCAGTGGATGAGTTGGGTCATTGTAAACCTGGATTGCCTTTTTTTCCAGAACCTGACTGTACAGGTCTGTAAGTGTCATTTGTTGATGACCAATGACTTTACTACCTTGTCTGACCACCCGGGACAACTTGTTCCTGTCTCTGGCTAGGAGGTTCCCATACCATGAGACAATATTAAATGAAACAACACTTTCAACCAGTGACCTGTACACCAACTGCAAAGTAATTTTGCTTGCATTAAAGCTCCTTAGCTTATACAGAAGGTGGAGACGCTGTCTAGCTTTTTTGTAAATATAGTATATATTATAATATAATATGACGTAATATTGTACAACTTAAAAATACCCTGCAACATAAAAACATTTGTTCTAAAATATGAAATAATCTTGTTTTTCTCTCTATATATAATTGTTCTAAAAATCTGAAATCAGTATCGTCTTATGGTCAATAAAATGCACACCTACAAACAACAGGACAAGTGGTGGTGTGAAAAAATGACATGATTTTTATTATGTCCAGTGCTTGAAGTTAGACATATGGGACTTGATGTGGTTACAGAGAGATGACGGGAACTGTTATTAAGCCCACTTTTAAGCCAAGGGCTCCATCCTGTGGGAGGAAGACAAGAAAGCCACAGAGGACGCTCTTTTTCTGCATACGTAGGCCAAGCTTCTCTTTGAGCTCTCATCACTTTTGTGATTGTTGTCGCAGACGCCGTGACTATTTACAATGTATACATTAGCGGTGTCATGTACAAAAAAAAAAAAAACTTTACAAACATTTAAAAAAGGAAAAAGAAAGAAAGAGGAAGATATCCAGTTTAAAAAAATCTCTCTGGTCAGGTTTCACGCGTGGTAGGTCCGATGAAAACAAAGGATTCATGCATCTCAAGCTCTCAATCTGAAATCTGTTCTTACATTGCTTTCCTGCAACTCCCAAACAATGTTTTTTTTTTTTTTTAAGATCAATAATGTGTCAAATTGCACCCAAGCAACCCAGCCATGTCACATACTCTCATTCACTGCAGAAGTAACCAACTCACACATCATCTTCACTTACAGCATATCTACTTGCCGAAGGTCCAGAAAGGTCAATAAACCCTCTACACACAAACATGGGCATCAAGGTGATGCCATTTAAGGGACATCAGAGTAGGTGAGAGGAAGTAATCACATTTCCTCTGAACTCAGGCCTTCGAGTGGCAGATCCATGCATCTTTAGGCCAATTTGTGTTTCAGGCACTGATTAGACTTAGGCATCATGTTTCTACTCTACACCAACACCTTCAGCGGAAAGGAACAAAACATCTGGACAGCTTTATGGCAATCTGAGGTACTTCAGGGTTAAACAGTTCTCTATTTCCACCGACTTCCTCCCCCAACAGACGTTTCTTCCTTTTATCACATAACAGTCAAGATATGAGCAATAAATACTGCAGTTTCCTAGTTTTTAAACAAATATTTTGTGCAAACAAATGAAGGAATATAAAAGGAAGGAAGCCACTTGTTCATAACTTAATGTGTGACAAAAGAAATATGGGGAAAAACGACAACAAAAAATATTTTAATAACGTGATGAAAAGCAAAAAGGAAGGAAAATGGTTTGCATGTCTTTGAACGCGTCTTCTCTACTTCTTCTTGTGGGATGATGCATGAACAATGAACCAACAGTCATGACGGTGTGCCTCGCTCACACTCTGAGACATGCGTGTTCGTAAAGTAGAGAAATCAGTACAAAATCCTACAAAAATTGAGACTTTGAAAAGTGGTATGCTTAGATTTTACACGAGAAATACAGAACAGACTGTCTGAAAGCCAGAAATGGTAGTCTTGATCAACAAGCCGTTATTGTCTCAGTGTTGCACTCCAGTCATGGGATCAGTCTACTGAGTCCCCTGATGAAGTTATTTCTCTTTACAGATTCACACTGAAAGTGATCCATGCAGTTACCCAAACATGCATAATCCTCTGAAAGCTTCACAGTTCTGATTATTTGCTCTTTCATTAACAAAATGAAAAAAATAGCTGAGTTTATAAAAGAAAACATTCAAGGCCGTGTGTCAAATCTAAGCACCATTAACCCCCCTTCCCCCCCCCAAAAAAAACCAACCAACCAAACAAAAAACAAAAAAACAACAACACTAAGACAGTATTGCTGCTGCTCTCCACCGGATTTACTCAAAAACTGCAACTTTTTGGGCCCAACTGGCACCCCCTTTCTTTGACACTTTCACTGACACAGCCCTTTAAAATCCAATTTTCACATATAGAAAATAAAGTGCATTTGGACTGTTGACAAGTGACAGCTCTACTTGTTGGGGGCAGCCAGACACAGGTTCTTTAACTACCGAAGAGAAGTGTGCACCTTCAAAGAAAACCTGTGAGCGCCTGCAGTTGAAGCGTTTGCTGCGGCTGAACCAAAATAAAAGGGAGCAAATGGATCCTAATAAACAACGTTACAGGTAATATTTTGCATCATAGTATTCCAGTCACCATGCACTTGCAGATTAAACAAAAACCCATCTGGGACAAACTGAGGCACAAGGAAAGATCACCTCCAAGTCTGCGTCTTTCCCCAAAGTGATCCTCACAGCTTCACATGAAAGCAGTTTTATCGTCTTTCCAATGTTCTGAACACAAGCTAAACTCAGTCCCTTTTTACTGCTGTATTTGATCACTGGGCACCGAGTAAAGTTCACAACAGAGTCCTCTGAACACTCACTGGGATTAAGCATGTATCTGCAATAATACAAAGTTGGTCATTTTAAGTTGCTGCGGGCTGTTAGCTCAGAGAGTAGTCTGTAGAGTGGGATCCAGACAGCCTTCCCGCTCTGGAGACTCGATGTAGTTGGCCGACTCTTGGAGTTTCAGCAGCATGGCCATCTGGAAGGCAGGTGGAAACACAGAGGCACAGTGAGTCAGCCTGCACATTTTCCTTTATAGGGCTGTTACATTAAAGATACCTTCAAGTGTTGAGCATTTTTTTAACTAACACCGTGCAGCCACTTCTATAATATCAATAATTGAGCAATCACAGAAAGTGCTGTATGTGCATCATAATTTTTTTACTATAAAAACTAATGAGTTTTAGAAATTTTAGAAATAAATTTCTAGAACTAATGGATGTTCTAGAATATGCAGCTCAGTGTTGTTCTGTGATCCATCACTGGTTCAGGCGTTTTGAAAAGAAAATTACAACTTTGCTAAATTAAAGAGATATAACATTTTTTTTTAAACCAAGATTCTGTGGGAAAATTCTGAACAATCAACATCTTGCTTGCAGAAAGCTCTTTGAATGACCACAGTTTGAGTCCCGAGCTGGGCCAAGTCAAAAACTGGCAGCTTAAAAACAACACCAATCTCAAAACTTCCCTAGCCATTTATGTAAGTGGCATTTTATTAGCCCCTTTGTTGCATCAGTGTTATTTTAGCAGAAATGCTATGATATTCCTGCTGAAAGTGTCCCAGGCTGCAAGGTAAGTGCTGCAATTATAATATTTCTATATGATTTAGCAAATAATCATAACATTTTATGTGAATAATTGTGCAATGTGACAAGAACAGCAATGTAAATGTTTATAAAATAGTTTTCACACAAGTTGCTGACAACCTTTGAGATTGTAGTTGTTTTAAAATGGCAAACAGACTAGCCAGTAGCTCATCAGTCTGGTCAAAATTAAACTTGTCTTCAGCAAACTGAGGTCATCGGAAGAGCTATCTACAACAGGCAAGACATTAATTGTTCATAATTTTCCCAAAGAGCTACACTTTAAAAAGTATAAATCAATGCTATAAGTCCTAAACATGAGTTTACTGTTCTCAGTTTTTAAATTATCATCTATCTTCTAAAATGCTCCCTCACCAGCGGGTCTGACTCCAAAGAGCTGGGCGGAGGTGAATCTTTGGGCGACTTTTTCTCCTCGGTGGGCAGCCCTACGCTAGGAGGAGGTAGGTGGAAGAGCCTGGACTGGTCCTGTTGTGCATTGGGCCAGGGGAGAGTGCCTCTCACCCACTCCACTGGGTCCTCCCACACTGCTTTATGACCGTGTACCTGAGAGAACGAACACAGGGTTGTTGTGGAACTTGTAAATTTGTTGAAAGCCTTCGTGTCACACATCTGAGGATTGTGTGCTCACCTTGATGCCGTCTCTGGCTCCTTCCTGCAGGTATGGTATGATGGAGTGGTTCCACAGGTCAATGAACCACTGCCGGAACTCTTCCACTGACACGGGGCATGACAGAAAGAAGCAGGGGCCTGAGGAAGACAACACTTTGTTAAAATCGGATAACTTCTGACACAGTTAAGACTTTTCTGACCCTGCGTCCATGTATCTCACCTATGAGGAAGTCTGAGGTGCTGTGCTTCTCCAGGAAGGTGTGCAGGTGGTACCAAAGCTGAGGGATCCAGTCGAGAACGTGGAGAAGCTCCTGGTGGTGAGCTGAGAAGTGCCCCTCTTCATGGTAAGCCTCTGCGGCTTTCCGGTGCAGGTACCTTAGCAGGAACCCATTGGCTGGTTCCACGTTGTTAGAGAACGTGACCATCCTGTTAATATATGCAAAAAATTCACTTTTTCTTAAGTGTAAATGTATTAGAATTGTAAGAAACACTCATATGACTCAGAGCTTACCTGAAGCTGAGGTGCAGCCCGTGATTAGATATCATCTTCACAGGCTGATTGGTTGTTCCAATAATGTAGGGACTGAAATGTTCAACAAAAAACATCATAGTTAGATTTAATGGAACGAGTTTTAGTTTTAAATTTCTGGGTAGAATGCAGTAACTGAAGGGCTCACCATTTGTGGTACTTGCAGGTGAGCGCACCGTTTACAAGTTCAGTGGTGGCCGCTGAGTCACTGATATCATCTATGATAACAACCGACGGCAGCTCTCCTCCGCTCTCCCTGTCAATCTGATTGGCTAGGTTTGACAAATACAACTGCAAGTCCTGCATGCAAAAAAAGTAAATATACAAATGTTTAGGAAAACAACACAATATGATTAATAACTAGACCGTAAGAACTATGTGTCATGTTTTACCTTCTGTGACTGGCGGTGCAGGTTGAAGGTGACCACGGCGCTGTGACCCAGAACACATAAATCGTGGTCAGCGTCTGATGAGTCAATCCGGCTGCGCTGCAGCAGGTAGTGGGCCAGATGCTGGGCTAGATATGTCTTCCCAGTCCCACTGGGCCCAGACAGGACCAGCCGTCTGTGCTTCATCAACAGGCTGATGTAATGCAGCATCATGGGCTTGGGAACTAGAGTCTCAAACACCAGTGAGTCAACACTGTTTTCTCTGAGACCTAGAAGGAAGGCTTAATGTTTAGTATTCATTTACATCTAATAACTAAAACCATTTAAATCACATAAAGCAAACCATAAAAAAACACATGTTTTGTTACTGATGACCACAGTATCCTTTTATCGCAGTTAGAACAATGGGTTGGAATTACAGGTGCAGCATTAGAATGGTTCCATTCAGGGCTTAATTTGTACACCGATTGATGATGGAATGCAAATAGTGGGCGGGCCAGCTGGGAGTCCTCCCCTCTAAAATTTTGAATAAAGTAGATGCAGTTACCTGTATTTTGGTGTATTTTAACGGGTTATTAAACATCTACATTTATCTACATTTGTAAACACTCCACTCTGTCAAGCAACTTACTTGACAGAACTGTCACATAAGTCTGTCCCTGTTTGTTGTCCAACTCCACATGTGAAACCTCTAGACGCCTGCCTGCAGCTGTGAGCTCCTGCCTGCGTATGACATGACCGTCTGATTGGCACTTCAGACGTTTCTTTAAGGGTAGATGCGGAAATACTTTACTTGAAGAGGCAGATCGTATGATGATGTGTTTAAAATTAGTGCTCATGTAATTATTTTCAGTTTACGTATCCAATATAAGTTTTATTCGTTCAAGGCAGTCATATTTGTTCATAACTTTATTAGTAGTAAGTCAGAGAGTTACCAGATCCAAGCTGGATCCTAAGCAAACAGTAAGCACTCTGTCAAAATAAGAGAGTTCCCAGATTTTGTTCCGACAGGATCCAGCTCAAATTAAGCACTGGTTGGTTGCATTCTTATCTGAGTGACAGGGGCTTTATGTTAATGTTCGTAATATTTTATCTGCTTTGGTCCCTCTTTCCTGAGGGGTTCCACAGGGCTCAATTCTTGGACCCCTTCTCTATTCACTGTATCTGCTCCCTTTGGGGTCTATCCTGAGGAAACATGGGTCTTTTGTTTCATTGTTATGCTGATGATTGTCAGATTTATCTGTCCTTAAAACCCAATTGCTCATGCACAATTCACCCTTTGTTAAAATTTCTTGAAGACATCCAGGCTTGGATGGCTTCAAATGTTTTAAGTTTCAACGATCAGAAAACTGAAGTTAATGTGTTTAGGTCTAGTCTCTTTTCCTGTAAACCTTGACTCTCTTGAGCTATATCTTAAGCAGTCTTTTTAATTACATTTTATTATATTTTCTTTAATTACTACCATTGCTTTTATTGTTAAGCACTATGGTAACAACTGCTGTTTTAAATGCGCTTTATAAATAATTTTGACTTGACTTGTTCTTTATATCATATTGTCCAAACCCTGTCATCATTTAGTACAAATTCACTTTTGTTTTTCAAAAAAATCCAAAATCAGTACAGATTTCTACTAAAAGTATTCCTACGTTTTCATGGAAATAGTTTTAGAGTATTCTGTGTGTGTATATGTGTGTGTGTGTGTGTGTGTGTGTGTGTGGGTGGGGGGGTAATCACAAAAGTGGTTACTTGGAAGTTAGAAAAATGCATATTTTATAGTTTTAAAAGCGGTTCTCTGTGGTTATAAGTAAACGTTTCAAGCAGTTCTGGTCGTTAAATGGTCCAATAAATCGGGCAGCATGTGCAGTAACCGTCTGTTCTGCTAACCTTTTAAGGTGACAAAAATCTGAGCAGCACCATTGACGAAACACCGATATGGTGAGGATTGAGGTTTGTCCCCTCCTATCACCCTCTGCCCTCCGTGGCCCAGCTGGTACATCTGCAAGGACTCACAGGTCAGACCCAGGCTGGCTGCTGGGTCCACGTGACTCAAGTAGTCCTGAACAAAAGACAAATAGGACTGAGTTTAGCACATCAAAGCCTCCGTTGAACCACTGCGAGAAGCAAAGATTCAACTTACTTTAAAGGTCTTAGCTACGAGCGAGTCAAGAGAGGTCCAGTCAGTCCTCAGGCTGACCAACACTGTGCCCAGGTAGAAGTCCTGTTGCCGTTTACTATCCTGCAGATCCAACAGAATGTAGACAGTTTAGCAAAAAGCATTTTCACAACTTAATAATTGTTAAAACAGTTTTGTGTTTACCTCTGTTTGATCTTTCATACGGACCAGTACTTTTGCACACACTTCCTCACGCTGAGCAACGTTTAGCAAGTCACTAGAAGACGCTTCTGAAACATGAAGCAAATGTTAAATTAAAACTTAAAAGATTGATGCATGAGTCTAATTATAAGATATATAATAAGATAGAGTTCATGCTTTACCTGAATCTTTACAATCATTCAGACTGAGGCTAAACGACTTGGTGAGGGACATGCTCATCGGCTGCTTCAGTGAGGGCCCCAGAAGAGAGGCCAGACCCGAAGGCTGCGACGTGGACAAGGTGGGACCAGAGCCCGAGGTATGCAGCTGACTTCCTGTTTTCAAGTGGTCATTTTCTGCCTTGAGGTTCTCCACCGTTGACTAGAACAGAAGTAGAATTAAACTTTAAACTCAAGCTGGGCTGGTGCACACATAGATTCAAAAATCTCAGTTAAAAATCTTCAGGGCCTTCAGAGAAGGCCTATGAATTCAGCATAATGTAAAATGTCACATTAAAATTTTTATTATATAAAAATAAATATTTCAATGTGGTTCGTCTTGGCGGCACAGTGGCGCAGTTGATAAGAGTTGCTGCCTCTCAGCAAGAAGGTCGCTGAATCGAATCCTGGATGGGGGCGTTTCTGAGTGGAGTTTACATGTTCTCTCCATGCATGCGTGAGTTTTCTCCAGGTACTCCGGTTTCCTCCCACAGACCATAAACATGCATGTTAGACTGATTGGATATGGGCACCAGTGACCTCCATGACCAGAAAAGGAAAATGCAGGTAAAGATATTGGATGGATGGATGGATGGATGGATGGATAGTTTTTTTATATTTTTTGCTAATTTCTCTTATTTCTGTACACTACTTTGCAGTTAAGCAAGAAACTTCTTTAATTCATGAAAATAGTTATCAAATCTGATTATTTAAAATTTTTGGCTCCAGGTAGAAACATATGAAAGTTGTTTCTTATTGATTATAACTTTACTGTTAGAGAAGGTTGACCTCAGTTAAAGTCCCTCCAAGATGGAGTTGTTTATTAACAGACAGGAAAATTGACCAATCACAATGCTGATGCAGAGTGGGTGGGACCAAAACACGGGGCTCTGAGCCTTCGGGAAGGCCATGCAAAGTGTTTTTTTTTTTTTAAACCATGTCAGGATTTGTAATACATTCCATTCCAACCTGTAAATTCAAAATTCCACCAGAAAATGTAGTTGCACAAAAAAGAAAATGAAGTTCAAAGATCACATTTACATTGATAATTTTCAGTATTACAGTTGTTTCATAATACAATTTTGCAGAAACAGTCAATTCTGTGGGCTACTGTTACGTTTCAGTGTGAATCATTGAAATTACATGTTGTACTTAAACATAAGAGACTGAGCTCTAAAAGTCAGTTTGCCAGTGAAAGATCTACAGAGAGGTGAAACAGACCTGCATGTTGTGCATGGCTTCTCTGAGCTGCTCCAGCTGATGGGCAGAACTTAAGGCCTCTAATCGGATATCTGTCAGCGCCCTCTCTTTCTCCCAGAGCTCTGAACGTAACTCTGACACCGCCGCTTCACCACTGTCTCCCTCCTCTGTCGTCTCCATGATCCTAGACCAGCCAAGATGTTCACGTCAGAGACAGACACCCACACAGAGGCTGACATTTGCTGCTTGTTGTCGTTTCTGTCCTTACCCTAAGGAGGTAGCAGATCCTGACATTTTGAGGGATGGGAGCTGGCTTTCTCCCGCTTCTCCTCCTTCATGAGTCATCTTTGGTGAGTTGGGAGCTGAGGAGTCTGGGGTGGCGATTTCCTCAATGTCTGAGTAGGTTTTGGTGCCTTTTTTAATGCTGAAAGCCTTGTTGAAGGAGCTCCTCAGCTGTGGAGAAACACAAGATGATGGTTTAAAAGCAGAGAAATTCAGTAACAAGGCTAAAAAGGGAAGTGATCAAATTAAATAATTACATGCTTAACGTTAAAGGAATAGTTTGTCATTTTCCAGCATTTACCACCTCAGACAACTCCATTTTATTGATTTATGAGGTGTTTTTGAAGTTTCTAACAAAGTAATCTATATTTTTGTCTGATGTTTTGTCCAATATTTATTTCCTATAATGTTCAAGCATCACAGTGCTCAATTCTCCAAAAGACAACTTATTCCTTTAAACTTTCAGTCAGTGTGTGTAATACAAAAGGTTCTGGGTCAGAAAACATGAGCCGATGTTGGCCACAACAAGGTCCAGATCTGTTTGTACTGAGGAATAAAGTCCACGACAAGTTAAACAAGTAAATGAGGAGGAATCATGAACTTAAACTGAGCTATGCATCATGTCTGCTGTTTGCCTTTCAAACTGAATTACAGCCGTCTGTCATCTTAAACGTTTACAGGCAGACAATTAATCGTTAGTGGAGGTCAATCAGCAGAGATGGGCCTAGGAGATTTGTAGTTTCAGATGGTCCATCATGCCGTGTGACAGAAAATTACAGACGTTATAAAGTTACACAGAGATGGGACTCACCTCAAAGACCTGAGACAGTAAAGTAACAAAGAGGAGGGAAAGACTCGTCACACTTCATCCACGCTGCTGAGTCATTTTTAATAAGAACAATGCTCACACAAAAACACGGGGCTGCGTGGAGTAAAGCTTGCCTGGATATACAGTGACCGCTTGCTCTTACCCAACTCTTCTTCTTCTTCTTCTTGGCATCTTGATCCTTCAGGCTTCCCACACTTGACATACTGGTCAGGCTGTTGAGACTGGAGATGCTCTCACATGAGTTCTGACGTCGCATATGCAGGTCTGGAAAAACAAGAGAAGTGTAATCGTTGCACAGAGAGAGAAGTACAGAAAACAAGGGGCAGAAAGATGAAGTGGTTGATCTGCAGACCTTTAGAGTTGTCTGGAGTGTTTAAGGCTCCCTGGATGACAGCCTGGGCCTCTTCATTCCTGGACTTCAGAGCGTCGATCGTCTCCCGCAGATCAGTCAGCTCCGAGTCCTGAACAAACAGTTAATAAACGTCAGAGCCGCCTCGTTTCTACAAATAAGTACCAGTAGAATGAATGGTCCATTTCATGTCTAACTTTTATTTGATGTTTTGAAAGTCATGTGCTCTCATGTGTTAGTCTAATATCTGCTGTGTAGGAAAGATATTATTTATTGATCTGCTTCCTGATACATGACAATATGCATGTTTTATATAGTATCATTTTACTGTACACTTCACAATTCCTTATTTGACTCAGTGTCATTATGATCACTAACATTGGTATGTTAATTGATGCTTTGGCATCCCTGTTTGCAGAATGACGAGGCCAGTAGCAGACACACCTACAAGTCTTGTTTATAGTTTTTTCTGTCTTCATTTTGGTATATAAATTATGCTAACACATTTAAATAAATAAATAAAAACAGCACAGTAATGTATGATTTCACTACACATTACTACACATCACATAATGGGCAGCTGTGGCTGAGTGGTTAGTGCAGTTGTTCTCCAGTGCAAGAGTTGGTGGTTCAATTCCTCCAGCAGTCACATGTTGAAATGTCCCTGGGCAAGACACTGAACCCCTCATTGCCTCCTATGTGTGTCCCATTGATGTATGAATGTGATAAAGCATTGATTATTCTTTGTATAGATCTAGTAGAATGCTGATGAATGGGTAAACGAGGGCACATATTGTGTTGTAAAGAGCTTTGAGTATCTTGATCAGATAGAAAGGTGCTATATAAGTACTGTCCATTTACATTACATGTGTAAATTCATAAAATTTAACCAGTTGGTGGATGTGTTTTATGTAAAAAAAGAACAAGTGCTTTTAACAGCAGTCCACTTTTAGCTCTTTAAGAGATTCTTGGATTTTGCAGCTCAGTCCACAGTTGCTCTTTGTGTGTTTGTGTCAGTATTGGCATCTACACGCAGCTTTGTGGAAGCGACAAAGCTGTTCAACTAATTTGATATAGACAAGTGCTGACCCAGCAGTCACTCTGGACAAGAACAAGTGACTTAAATTTGATTTGGTCAGTCAGAGAAGGGTGCAGTGATACAGTGAGACATCAACACATCCTTTTGTCCACATGCCTGCTAGAGGAGAAACAATCATGGCCTGTGCAAGAAGTTGGGTGACGTTCTGAATCACTTACTGTTTTCTTTTGACAGTTTTGTAACGTGCAAATCAACGTGACAAAAAAAAAAAAAAACAAGAAAAAAAACTCAATACATAATTTGGCTGTTTAACTGCATTCTATTTTATCAAATTTAGACAATAAAAACCAAATAAGCACATATACACTGACGTTTTTTGAGTGAGTAAAGTTAAAAAGTTACTCTAGGCCTGTCGTAATAAACAATAAATCAATCAACCACATGATAAACGAAAATTATCAACCTCATTTTCATTAATCGGCTTTATCATTTCTTCATGTGTCTCTCTCTTTCTATTCAAGACACCGGATGACAAAAAGCTCAACTCCGGTGCTCTTCACTGACCCTTCTCTTTCTCTTTAAGATCCATTTTAACCGTCCAAAATCACGTTTTTGGATCGTTAAAAGCAGCTAAGCTATAAGCTAAGCTAACAGGCCGACCTTGGGGAAAAAAAACTCCATTTTGTTCAAGCTCCAAAATTCACAGTTGAAACTCGTGCCTTTAAGTAAAAAGTTGTTTTTCTTTGCAAAAAGAAGCTGAGAACTTGTTTACTAATTTTTATTAAAAGCTTTGTGAGAAAAATGCTATGCTAAAGAGCTCAAATCAAACCGAGCGTCCACCATTTTGAGAACCGAAGCCCATGTCAAGGGGCCTCCCTCCCATTTTTCTTAGAGACACGTGCTCCCTCACTATCCATCCTTGGGTTAAAACAGTCTTATGCTGACATCCGGTGGTCAAAAAAGGTACTACATGCAAAACAAATTAAACATTTCTTCTTAAATTTGACAATAATTACTAATTATTGTCAAATTTCAAACATTATCGTTTATCGCAATAATTTCTGAGACAATTAATGGCCCAGCAAAAATTGTTATCGTAACAGGCCTAGGTTACTCAAATCATAAAACTTAAACAATTGTATGAGCTCATACATGCTGAACTTGACCTCGCTTGCAATGTCATCAAAAAGTCAGTGAGTTCAGAACAACAGAGTCTTTCTGCATCAGTAGTTATCTGCTAAAGTCGATCCCACTTTACTCAAAATGGAGCCACCGGGTCCATCTCCTCAAGGGTAAAGTGGGCTGAGCTGCACAGGTCAGTGCGCTGGCATTGACAACAAAAGAGGTTTCTGGTGCAGTCCAGACAGAGCTTTCAGAGGGAGCAGTAAGGCGTGAAGACTCAGGGAGACTCTGCACAACACAGAACCAACTCCTCGCGTGGTGATCAGTTCATTCACACCAGAGGACACACAGAGGAATGTAGGAATGCTGCTTTGAGTGCACGTGCAAGCCGTTTGGTTTCAGCTTAAGTTTATTTCATTATTTATTATTTATATATTTTTTATTCTGATAGTAACTCATCCATTAACTGTGCAGTTTGAGCATCGAACCCACATTCAGCTCCTGCTGTGATCAAAGTCAGCTCATTCCACCGTAACTCTCTTGGACTGCTCTGAAGATAAGCAAACTGTTGGAATGTGGCTGAACTTCTGATGTGTGTGCATGCATGTGTGTGTTTAAAGTTTTAAAAGTGCAGCTGTGGTGTTACCTTCTGCTCATGGCTCACTGACAAACTCTGCAACCGAGCCGTCATCAGCGCCAAACTTTGCTCAAAGGCAGCAACCAGATTTGACTAAACAGAAAACAAAGAAAAGGAAAAATAAATGTTAGATGTTCAAAAGGAGAGATGAGAGAGCATCATCTAAAAGAAGATGGATAACGAGGAGACCAATGAGCATGCAAATTAAGACTGAAAGAACAGAGTCAGCAGATGTGCTGCTCTTTAACCCTTTTAAATGAGGGACTTAAAAACTGAATAAAACACAAAAGTCAAACAGAAAAAAGGTCTGAATAAAAACCCCCACTTCCCTAATCTCTTCCTCTTTCTATCACACACACATTTTAGTGTCGAGGAGAAAAAAAACAACAACACCCTATTATTCTTATATGAAAAATACAATAGTGCAGAGATTTAAACAAATCACCTCAGTCATTATTCCAAAACATCCAGACTTTGTTTCCACTGTAGTTGTTAAAGATTAACAATGTCATTAGGATAGAATAAAATCTCAAGTGAAGAAATACATGAAGACGTGTGTTCTGCATGAAGCTTGTAGTTTGCAGCTGAACAAGGAAAAAATGCTGACGAGGTCCTAACACAGAACCAACCTTGTCAAGGAGAAATAAAGAGTAAAGAAACCAGATATGTAGGTGTGCAGTGAAGCTGAGTGGCTCTGAGGAATATTCAGGAGAAGGCTGAAATTATGCACATGCTGCAGAGATAAGGCCTAGACTGTGCAGAATGAAAAAAAAAACAAAAAAAACTTGGATTTAAATATAAATTGTGGGATTAAAAAAAAAATTCTTATTTAAAGATAAGTGACATGTATTTTTGTATGAAATTAGAGGGAGAAACTACTACTGATTATTCAGCTCCTTAGAAATAAAAAGCTGCATCTTTAATTATTGTAATTTTTTTCAGGTTTCTTCTGCTTATCTAACCTTTTGCTCTTGTTCTGCTTTATATCTCAACTAGTTTTTCTACTGGTTTTGTTATCAGCTTTCTGCACACTAGGTTTAACATGTGTAGATGAACATATTGCTGTGATATATTCATAAATTAAACGGATTCTTTCATTTTTCTGGACTGTATAATGTCGTGCATTGAATAGTTAAAAATGTAACGTGAGACGTTGATTATCTTTGACCCATCAAAATGAACGTGGTCATTTATTTTCAGAATCAAAATTTTACATCACACATTTACATTAATTTGGCAAAAATTGAAAATAACAACAGCTTATTTAGGCTAGTTTTACAAGGAGGAAACAATACGGCGATTGTTTCCCTTGCTTCCAGCTGTACAACAGACATTTCTAAAAATATCTGGAATGATTTGCTAGCAGGATAGAAGAATTTTAAAGATGGAAAATGAAGTTTATCTTGAGAGAGATGGGTGAGGGAATTTGTCTGTTATAACCAGAACAACACGCTCCTTTGGACCAGCTTAACCCAACGGTACACTTTGGTTGAGATCGACTCTTTACCTTTGCAGATGATAGTTTCAGCGTTGGTGTAGAGCTTTCCTTTCAACTCTTCCAGCGTCTCCGTAAGAACAGCTAAACCTCAGGAGTCGTGAGATCATCCAGAACAGACATTTCATAATTCCCCTGATCTTCTCTCGTTCAGCTTATTTTTCTTCCTCCAGCATCCTGAATTCCAGCCTTCTGAACTCTGGAACTCTCTGAACCAACTCACAGCATTCTCTCAGCGTTCTCCTCAGCGTTCTTCCCAGAACTGCCGAGAACTTCTCAGAACTAGTGAGCTCTCCAGAACTCGACTGGAGCTGGAACCTCTGTAGAACTGACGTGAACTAGGAAGTGTTGCACCTTTTAAAAAAGGTCACTTCCGGTTCATTTGAGAACTTTCTGATTGGTCGATGGACCAAAACAGAGGTGTGTTTTTGTGATGTAAGGTGTTATTAAAAAGTCAAGGAAAAAGATTAAGTGTTTAAGAACAGACAGAAGATTGTTATGAAGAACTCAGACTTCGTGGAGTCAATTCTCTAGTATCTTTCCGTAAAAGTTAAACATGACATTTCTTTTTCAGTAAACTTGCAGTTGACCGAAACTTGAACTTTGACCAACTTACACAACTTTCTCATTGAAGACAGAAAATCAGACAATGCATCATTAACCTGATTTCTACTTTGAATGAGGATTAAAGTCATTATTACTGTTTCACAGTTGATTAAAAATGATTAGTTCACTTCAACATTTGGAAATGGTTTGAACTAAACACTTTGATTATCAAAACATTTGTAAAACAGTAATGATAATAGAAAAAGAGAGTGTTCTTTCAATTGATCAGTGCAGGACACTTAGAAAGTCTTCTGGATGGACTTAATCTTGTGTTTCTGGACTTAAATCAATGAAATACAGTTCTTGTCCCAGGAAGGCCCCTCAAGGCCAGATTTGACCTGAGGCCTAGTTCACTACACATGAATTAACAACACATTACGTCATTCAAATTATATTTAGTGCAAGGTTTTCAGTTTCTGTTTTTCAGTTCTACAATTTTTTTCATTCTGTATTAAGCCCAGTTTTCTCATCGATACGTTTCTTTGGTTGAAGTGTGTTTTATTTTTTTCTAATATTAATATTATTTAGCTCATTGTTCTGTTTGAATTAGGATTGTTCCCACTGTTTAATTTAATTTAAGTCAATTCAGTTTATTTATATAGCGCCAAGTCACAACATAAGTCATCTCAGGGCACTGAACAGAAACATTCATATAAAAAAATAAGTTAACACTATTTATCTGAGAAGACTGCTTGGAATTTAACTCGATCGCATAATTCTCATCTTGACACAGGCGCACAAAGGCGACAGTGGAAAGGAAAAACTCCCTCATGAGAAAGAAACCTTTAGTAGAACCAGGCTCAGGACAAGCGGCTGGGTTTGAGAGGAACAGATACACAATGGCAGGTCGAGAATCACGATAAGATAGAAATAATATCCGATGAAAACTATTAAATTTTAACAAATCATTGAAGGAAATTAGGTCAATTTGTCCTTCAGTAGTCTAAATCTATGGCCGCATAACAAGCCAACCCTAATTATAGAATTTATCAAAAAGAAAAGTCTTAAGACCAGTCTTAAAACTGGACAATGTGTCAGTGTTATGGACAGAAACTGGAAGCTGGTTCCACAAGAGAGGAGCCTGATAACTGGAAGATCTTCCTCCCAACACAAGTAAGCCTGCAATCTGAGAGCAAAGAGCTCTGTTAGGAAAATATGGAACAATAAGATCTCTAATATAAGATGGAGCTAGGTTGTTGAGAGCTTTGTAGGTTAGAAGCAAGATTTTGAATTCAATTCTGGATTTGACAGGGAGTCAATGGCGAGAAGCTAAAACTGGAGACATATGATCTTTCCTACTAACTCCAGTTAAGACTCTGATAAAGTTAATCCAACATGCTGTTGCCAAACAACAGTAAGAAAATTTTATATGTAAAGTAAATGTCTAAATAAAGGTTGAATGAATGAAAAAATGTGATGAAAAATGTATGTTTAGAAAGTTTAGTTATTTAATTTTCTCTAGAGCTCAAGAAATTGTGTCTTTTCTTATGGTATTGCTTGGGACGTTTGTGGTTACAACTGACTAAAATTAATTTCATAGCTTTAGTAACTTAGTTAGAAATTAAAGAGAATAAAAAGAATGTGCTGAAGACGCTTTACACAACCGCCGAAGATAAGACAGATAATACGTACATTAGCTGTCAACTGCGTTGTCAGATTGGACACCTTCTCCTGCGAGGATTCCAGCTCCCTCCTCAACATGCGAATTTGCTGTAAGGAAAAAACCAACAACAACCTTGCATTAGGTAAAATCAAAACATTGCGTTAGCTGAAAATGTCTCATGATGTTACAAGTGAGATGGTGGTGGTCATGAAATGAATAGCCAACTCTCAAAGACGACAGGGATGAGACTGATGGATAAAAGGAACAAATCGTGACAAGACAGTGAGGGGGACAGGGCTGCAAAGACAACACTTACCTCCCCCTGAATCCTTTCCTCAGCCTTGGGGAAAAAGACGATTAAAAGCCAAGATGTTAGATAAGACAGAGAGAAGAGAAGCGGAAAGAAGAGGAGACTAATAAGGTATGGGGCATAGGTTTAAGTGTGTGCAGTTTAAAGTGTGAAACAAGAGAAAATCACCCCCATCTACACAGACATCCAGCTGTCGGTACACAAATTAACTCATATCTACCTGTTTCTGTGTGCTGCTCACACTCACCGAAGAGTAGCTTGATGAGGCATTTGATGCCAGGGAGAGTACAGACCCATGAACTGGAGAGTGAACATCCAGAGAAACAAAATCAACAAACAAGCAGTGGTAGTTAAAAATGGCAGATGATCTTTATAGAACATCATAAAACAAAATGAATACGAGTTTCACCTTCATCGTTGGGCTCTCTGTCCCTAAAGGATCCAGACCGAACCATTCCTATGCTGCGTGGACGCTCAGCCAGTGATAAAGTGCTGCCCAGCGGCGATGCACCGTACAGCTCCATGGAGGCATCGTGTGTTGGGATGCTGTTGGACCGAATCATCCTGGGAGGTCCGCCTACAGGGCTGGGGACTAAAATAAAAGAGTTATCAACCGACATGAGTCAAACTAATGCACATGTGGAGCATGAATTACCGTGAAGATTACTCTTCTGTCTGTGTGTGCAAACAGAGATACACACCCATTGCAGTTTTAGAGGTGCGAGGCAGGGAGGTTGGTGAGGACAGCAGAGGAAGGGTGAGTGAGTCGGTCATGCTGACAACCGTATGCGAGAGTCTCCTCTCTTCTTTCTCCTTCTCTTCTTTCTCTGTTTGAGAAGCACCATTGAAACTATGGAGACAGAGGACACGGGCATGATTCAGCTGTAAAATAATCATTTACTGAGTCCAAAAACACAAAAATGTTTAAAGCCAGACACATTCAATCGTGATGCTGTAGATGATGTGATTGAAAGTGGTCAGCTCACATTATTATTCAAACCTGGCAGTTAAATGCCAAATACATCAAGATATTTTTTGCGAATGCATGTCAATCACTGCTCTGTATGCAGATACTCAAGCAGTCATGCCACACTGTAGGTTGTGCAACTAAGGACCTGAACTGATATTATTTTAGCATCAACACAATTCAGAGCCATTTGTACATCTCTGCCAATCTGTATTTAGAGTCAGTCAGTTCAGTAAATGAACACAGAACCTCATGTACTACAACAAAGCAAGTTTCAAAACGTGTTTGAGTGTGGCTGCATGTGCGCACTTGCATACCTTAAACCTTTCTTTGGTAGTGTGTTTCTGTCTCTCCGAGAACTGTGGAAATTAAACAGTCACGTTATTTTAGCACTAGTGAAGGGAGTTATTAAACCTTCATGAACAGGCAGCAGGCACAAAGAGGCACAGTAAAACTGGCAGACAGCTGGTGTCAGGCAGTAATTATGACTTCAGTCAGAGGGACCAGTACAATTACTGATAACATGCCCGTAGTAATAACAGCTCAGTGATTCATTAATGTGTGTGTATGTGTGTGTGTGTTGGTGGGGATAGTGGTCAACTTCCCGTTTGAGTTTAATTGTTATTAAATTCTAATACAAAGTATGTACTACTATTAAGCTATGTTCCTAAAATGTCGGTCAGAATTTAGCAACCCATTCCATCTCTGTTTTCTCTTGGCAAATGAACAACACAGTTTAATCACTATGGCCATAAACATATAAGTTGGTTAAAATGTGATTGTATTGACATGTTCAATCAATTTTTTGATCATTTTAATGATTGCTGAAAAACACTTAACTGTGTAGTACCCTAGTTAACCAGTATGTGGTGCTATATGGCTGCTTTGTATGTACACCTGAGGGCTTTATCTGCCCAAGTTATCTATCATATTTCTTCAGAACTAAACTCACCTGTCTGTGAGACTCAGTGAAACTTTACTTGAAGAGCTCAACCCTGATGGAAGGCGTCTGTCCTCTTGTGCATCTTTGTCTTGGGGCTCTAAAGTTGTGTAGCTTCTGACCAAAGTCTCCATCCCCATGTCCTTGTCTTTTCCTTGAGATTCAGGTGCCAGACTCATCTGTAACTGCAGAGACTCCATGCTGCGATGCAGCCCAGACACGCGAGGGTAGAGAAGGGGAGAGGTGCTCCCTTCGCTCTTTTCGACCCCAAGGGACGTGACTTGCCTAGGTCCCAGTCCGATTCCAGAGCTAGAAAAGCAGGCTGAGGAGTTCACATTGAGTAAAGGTGCAGGACTTGGGGCCAGGCAGGAGCTGTGTGAGTTTGAGCTACAAAGTTCTTGGAGCTTGGAGTAGGGAGGGATCTTTGGAGGAAGGCCATCCTGAACTTCAACCTCCAGGCTGTTGGAGTTCAACTTGTCTAGTTGGGCCAAGGATGGAGGCTTTGCCAGGCTGCGGACTCCAGACAACCTAAAGAAACACAAGATGATGTTGAAACAAATGCAAAATAACCATTTACCATGCATGTCTAACTGTACATGGAAGTGACAATATAAGAGTTTCAATACCTTTGCATGCCAGGTGAGGTCAGATCCATACTCTTGGGTGGTCTTAACCCATGCAACTTTCCTCCATTTTCTGAGGGGGTCTGAGCAGGACTCCCCTTCAAAGATCCACCACCACACTCTGAGTCCGAGACTACAGCTTTAGCCTTGGCTCTTTCTTTCTCCTTCTCTCTGTCTGTTTGATTGACAGGTGTGGGACTTGGGATCCCACGTCCTCCTGGCTTACCAGAATTAAGTCCTGAAGTGGGCTCCTTAATCCTTGAACCCTGTGTTGCTATGTTGGAGGGTTTAGTTAGCCCTGATCCTATGTCCATGGTAGTGCTCACTGGACGAGCTGAGCTTGGCCGCGTTAGAGTCAGAGTGCTCGTCTTTGCTGGGCGAGGCAGAGAGCGGTACTGGAGAGATGTCCTAGCATTTGGAGACAGGAACCCACTTTGGTCACCGTTTGAAACATCTAAGCTTGTCTTACGTCCTCCTGCACCTGCATTTGGCTTGACAGGAATACCAGATGTTTTAGGGATCTTTCCCACGGATGCTGAGCTGCTGGGTATGGAGCTGATGCCTGTACTTGCAGCACTGGGAGTAATGGAAAAGTTTGCACCTGTGCTGGTAATTGTGGGAGGCTTCTTGAAGCCAAAGTTTCCACCAGCTGAAGGTCTGACCAGTCCAGATGGAGGTTTACGCTGCTCTCCAGGTCCAGTGCCTTTTCGACTGTCTTTACCAGCATCAGAGGAGGAGCGCTGAAGTCCAGAATTCTTCACCACTAACCGGGACTTATCTATGGGCTTCACATCTGACTTCACTGGACCTACAGGAGAAAATAAATCTCATGAGCTTGAATAACACTTAAGCAGTGTCGGGTGAAGACTGTGACTAACCAATCCACATTAGGACATGATATCTAATCTGAACACCTACAATGTCTGACTGTCTGCTGAGAAAAAAAAATCCCCTTCATCAGACGGTTAGACCATCTTTACAATCACACACACCGTTATCACACTGCTACTCCTCTTTTCCATCCTGATGACTTAAAGCAGTCTCTTTCCAGTAAGTGCCTTGACTTTCCAGTAAGTTCATTTCTGCCCATTCCAGCTGTGGGAGAATAAGATGACCATGGATGGGGAAAAGTGGTGTTCATGAAGTGTGTGAAGGTAAGCAAAAAAACTGCACAACTCTAATTTCTCCACATGTGAAAGTTATTTGGATAAATATGGCATTGGAAGAGATATCTTGTTGATTACTTTTCGTTCTTAACATTTTCCAGATTAAAAATTAATTAGACTTGTTTGAAAGTTAATAACGGAATAACAATCTATTAGACACATAAGCTCTCCGGTGTATGCTCTACTCACATGAGTCTAAACTGCCCACGCTCATAATTTGTATTTAATGGGACTCATTATGTGAGGTTTATATACAAGGCATTAACAGAGTCAAAGAACTGCTGTTGCTTGAGACCCACCGGCGTGCTGCCTGGGGACATCTGGAGTTACTTACAAGTATTTAGAAATCCGCAAAAGACACATACACACTCGTGAAAAGATTTCTACCACACGCTCAGAATTCTCAGTCTTCAGACCCCTTATGAATATGACACTGACAGCAAATTACCCCCGGAGTACTTTTGTAAATTTGAAAATTGAGTTTATATGTCGCATCATTAACTTGTGTAACCGCAAAGCTGTTCATTCCAGGGACATTAGATTGAAGAAACACTCTGTTGGTGGCGGGTCACGCAGACAGAGCTTCTCTGAATGTATTGGACTGGATAGAAAGTGAAGCCTGATTCACTGAGAGAGCAGCAGAGACAACTGAGCTCAAAGCTCAATATGGTGAGAGACGTAGAAGAGATTGTGAATCATTACATGTTCTAACCTAAGGTCGTTTTCACACAAAATTCAGAACATTTGTTTACATTTTCAGCTGGTGAGGTTCGCATTCACACAGCACTGAGTCAGTCGAGCCAATCTGTTCCCCCCCTCGCCTGTGGTGGCGCTGCATCAAGAACTACTGAAGGAAAAAACATGAAAACCCCTGAAGAAGACAGAGCGCAACTTACTTCTGGAAATAAAAACAAAAATGGATTGGCGTCAAACTTTATCAGTTTTCGGATTTCTGTTTTGTCTGTGGCTCATGTGCAAAACAAACAATTTTTCAACAATGGACTCAGCATGAGCGGAAGATGAGGCAGAAGACCATGAAGAATGTTGTTTTTCACACGAGGCGGCTGAGGCTCCATATGAGGTAAGAGAAATGCACATTTGTTTGCACTGTGCTGTAGTTCACTTCCTGCTTTTGGAGCAGTCTCCAGTCCGCTTGCATTCACACTGAACCAAGACCAAGATCACTTCAACTGAACCAATACCTAGGTTTTTAGGCGGACCAGAGTTCACTTTTTTGGTCCGCATCAGCGTTCAATTGCGCATTCAGACCTCCCCAAACAAACTGGACTTTCTAGGCAAATGGACTAAAGTTCCATAAAGTGAACTAAACAGGGCTGGTGTGAATGCACCCTAAGAGGCCTGCATGTAGAGACAGAACAGGCAGTCATAAAAATCATTTATGTGACATTTTCAACACTGCAATGTTTAAATGTTTCAGTGAAATGATTTGGCAGTGTGAGTGAATATTTAAGTAGGACAACAGTGGTAAAAGGAAAATAAATGGAATGAAGATGAATCTTTAGTCTGGAAATAAATATAAACATAATTTGCTCTTTCGCGTTTAACAGCCAACATCTGTTATCATTGCTGCCCATCATCACCATTGATTTTGTGTATTTGTCATTAATACATTTGCATAGGTTATTGTGTGCATTTGAAGGGGATTGTAGCCATTTTTTTTGCCCAAAGTTTGCTTCAGTACCTGGAGATTTGTGTGCCTTTGAGAGGAAACACTAACCAGTCAGCAGCTTAGCAGCCAAGCACAGACATAGTGATAAAATATGCACTTCTGCACTGGGCTCACACTAAAAAACTGATAAAACCCCACAAAAGGTCAGCTGAAAAAGTCATTACACTGCTTAATAAACTAATTATTTTTTCACAAAAACAGATCTGTTAATCAGTTTTGCTGACCCACAGGGTAATAAACAGAAAAGACTGATTTAATGGGTTAACAAATCAAACAAATAAACAAATATATTTATTTTTTTGGGGGGGTGGGGGCAGTCATATTTAAACAGTTTAATAATTTTTAGCCCATGAAAATTATTTATTTAGTACAGGGCTATTCAACTGGCAGCCCGGGGGCCAAATCAAGACCATGGATGAACTCAGTTCGGCCCACCAATGGGTTGATTTTTAAATAAAATTAGATTTTAAACCATAAAACAAACTTACTTGATGACAACAACTACTGGATGACTGGTCCCTGAGCTCTTAGTTTTCAGTAACTGTGCCCCCCCCCCCCCCACCCACCCACCCACCCGGAGCAATTTAAGTGAATAGCCCTGATTAAGTAGATTATCCTTTGGTTCATTTTGGCAAAAAATTTAAAAGTTGGTCAGACAGAGAAAATTAGATGATATCTCATTCACAGGCCAAATTTACTTAGATTTTTGACAATTCATTGAAAGTAAACAAAATATAAATGTTCACTGTAAAAATTAAAAATAGGCACAACTAGTATGAACAGATTTAATCATGTGAAATACAGTTTTTGTGGTGTGGCGTTGTCTTGCAGTGATTGTTTGCTCCTAAAATGTCTTCACACTTTGTTTCTCCACAAACATGCAGACATTGTAGCAAATGACAGACTGAGAGAAACAAAACATGCTGCCAAACCTCAGTGATAAACTAAACTCAGACATGAGAAGTAAACTCAGAGTATGTTCCTCACATTGTTCCCTTGCCTTTTTCAATAAAAAAAAGCAAAAAAACTTTTTCCATCTAAAGTTTTTTGACATTTCAGTTATTTTTTCAGTCTATTTTTACTTTCTGAAGGTTTAATAACCTAAGACACATTTATACAGTGGCATGGCTTTTTATATGAAAACTGAAAGCATTACAAAAATATTGTTTGATGTATAGCATGCATTACATATGCGTATGCAATTTAAAATGCAAACGGTTACCCTTAACTATAGCAAATGGTGCAGTTTGAAAGAGTTTATTCCTATAGTTTTCCATGTGTATTAAAAGCAATTCTTATTGCAGGTACGCACTCGATGTAAACAAAGCACTTGGCTGAACTTGCTGATATCTCATCGACTCACATTAGGCTTTCTGTGTATAAACAAATGAAATCGGACAAACAAAACCTCCAAGACATGTACTGTATTTTTTGTCCTATAAGTCGTGTATTTTTTTGCATAATTTGCATGCACTGCCACTTATAGGCAGAAGCAACATAATTATGGATTTTTTCCCATATTTATAAACAAATTTTTGGCTAAGAAATGACCGTATTCATTAATTCTGACTGAAATAATTGAACACTACCATTTTCAGCCACTAGATGGCATTCAAGTTGTATGGCATCGTTGTATCATGGAATAGGCAAATGTGGCTATTAATGACACAATTGGCTTGCCATAGCCTCCCACCTTTGTCTGCCTGGAGCAACCAAATCAGCTTCATTTCGCTGTGCTGCCCCGCCAAAATGTAGCTGATTTGACTGTCAAAGTGCATTTATTAAGTAAAAGTTCAACTGAGACACACCTTTACTATAAAGTTGAGCTAACAAATCATTGTTTTTAGGTGGTTATCTTGTTAAATTTCGAAGAAATGGACCGAGTCGCCCTCTGCGTGTTCATGTTTCTGCATATCTGCTTTTGAAAATGCCGCAGATTTGACCATTAAATTCCTTTTATTAAGCAAAAGTTAGATTGAGACACATCTTTACTATAATTTTGAGCAAAAAATAATTGTTTTTAAGTGTTAATCTTGTTAAATTCTTGTTAAAGTCCTCTCGTGCACGATCCCGCAGCCACCATTTGGCAGCCAATTGATTTTTGGCACAACACCGTGTTGTCAGCGGTGACGTGCAATAAACGCAACGCATCAGCTGTGACGCATAATAGATGCGACTTATATGGCGACGCAACATATTTATGGATTTTTCCACTTTATTAGACATATTTGGACTGATGTGACTTATAGGGCGGTGTGACGTGTACGGTGGAAAATACAGTAGGTGGAAATGTATGAGTGAATTTGCTGCTAAATATGCTCGAGAAGAGAAAGAATAAGACAACTGTCCAAAATAAAGATAGGGAATTTTATCAGATTTCTACCTTTTAGATAAAAAGGTTGGGAATAGTCAAACATTACAAACCCTTTTTATTCTAATATTTATGGACCTAGAATATTCAAACATGAATTTACAACTTTATTCAGACTTTTTAGGGATGTGTAGGATCCTCATTCTTTTGTTAAAAGCACTCCACATTCATGAGGAACAACAAATCGACTCTGTTTTCCATTAATCTGTTGTTTAATCAGTGTCAAACTAAGTGGCAGACAATCCACAATGTCACACTGGTGAAATTTTAACATTAAAATCCTGGCTTGCAGATCACAGGCCAGTTCAACACACTTGCTGCCATATCTGTCATTTCAACAGCTGGCGATGCAAACACAGGACAGCCCCACAGAAACAACTGTTTGCACAAAGCCTCACTATCTGGACTGGCACACACCATCAGTACTTATATCCTGTTGTTTTGCTTGCCTGTATGTGTGTGCGTGTGCATGTGCGCTAATGAAAACAGCACACAGACAGTGTGCTTTAAAGGCAGCTGCACAATCCTAACCATTATGTAGGGCAAGTGTGATGGGTAAAACTTTTCAAAGCTGGCACGATCTCAGCTAAACCAGTACACAAATGCACACATCACTGGAAAGAGTCTGAAAACCCTTTATTTGAGTGCTAGAAATTCTCTCTGTTCCGAACCAAAAATAGCATTTGGATAGTACGGATTTAAGGAGAAAAAGACAAAAAAATAAGCAGTTTGAGTGTGTGTTTGTGTGTGGTTGGCTGGCAGGAAGGGTGTGGGTGGTGATGGGCATCTAATACATGGCACTGCTTTCTGAGAAGCCCAGAGGGTGGGCTGCAGCTGTGGACGAACACGTCTGACAAAGACAGAGTGTGTGTGTAACTGTGTGGGTGTGAGACAGCCAGAAAGAAGCGGGAGATTACCAGCCTGAGAAATCTGTCAGTCTGTTCAAGTTATCAAACCGTGTCAAGATTACACATGGCCATTTGTGTGTGTGTGTGTGTGTGTGTGTGTTGCCACTCACCAGCCACTTTCAGCCCGCTCTGAGAGGTGTGTGTGATCGGAGATGTGACTCCCACAGGTGGGTTTCTTCCTTTCTTCAACCCATTCCCCTGACCCAGAGTCTGTGGTTTCTTCAGCTCACCCTTCCCTCCTTTCCATCTATTGGCAGATTCGGACTTCAGACTTCCTGTGTCGTAGGAGCTGCAGCTTTGACTCTTGCGACCTGGTTTGTTATCGTCAGAATCCCAGGACAGACCGCTCTCCACTAGAGATCTCTTCTCTGCATCGGTGCGCATCTACATAGAGGAAGAACAGACATGTGCTTAGAGATAACATGTCCAGAAACTGCTTGAAAAATGAATGTGTCTCAAGACAAATGTCACTTCTCTTCTATTGAATGTGCATGCACGATCTTGTGCAGACAATGTCTGTTACATTTGGCAGAAATGTTAGCGTTTCCTAAACCACTGATTAAATGCAAATATTTATTAAAATAAATAGGCTCTTTAGCATTTCGTTTCAGAAAAAGAGCCGTTTTATTCTGGACAACCAACACCTGCACAGGACAATAAACAGTTTCTAAAGAACAGATATTTCTGTTGTCTGCAGTAAACCTGTTGTTTGTGACCTAAACCTTCCTGATGTATCACTTTTAACATCTGCAAATAAATGTGTCCTAAAACAGTAATACTAATATGTGGTTATGTTAGAACTGTTCCTAGTTTGGACAACACAACATAAAGAAGAAATGCTGGAACTGACATATTTTGTATCAGCAAGAGGCTTTGAATCTGAAGAATAAAGCCTCAACGTAGAAAATTCAAAGAGTAAAGACAAGACTAAACAGTAGAAATCTAATGGCTGTGCACTAAAATATGTATTGTTTTTATGTGAACAAATACATAATTACCTTTGCAATGATTTGTAATATGACCACAAGACAGAAGCTATTTCCAGCCTCAACGTGGAATGATATAACTTTATTTTGAATTTTACTGTGAAACTTCATTTGGACCATGTCATCATTTTCTTGTCAAATACAGCTCTATTACATAAAAATAATTTTCCTAAGTTTTAACTGCTCCATCCCATAAAAAATAAACACGTAATACACTACAAATAGTATACATTCGTATTATTTACATCACATTTAAATTTAGTTTATATGAGCTACACTCCAATACTTTAATTCACCACTCTCCATCTAATAACAGCACCTTAAAGTTTTATGATCTAATTATATTTAGGAAGATGTTGAGTTACACAATAACCTCATCTTCTCACAGCTCAGTCTTACAAAGAAGTTAGACCATTTTAGCAAAAATTTTTGCTTAAATCTATTATATGTACCACAGTTTTTTTAATGGCCACTGTTTGAAATGAGCCTCACTGGCTTTTAGTTGAGCATCACTTGGTAATATAAGGAAAGAGAATATTTGAACTTCTTCTCTTCTCTCAACAAGAAGGTCGCCAGATCAAATTCAGGCCGGGGAGCCTTTCTGGGTGGAGTTTGCATGTTCTCTCCGTACATGCGTGGGTTTTCTCCGGGTACTACGGTTTCCCCCCCACAGACCAAAAACATGCATGTTAGACTGATTGGTAACTCTAAATTGTCCCTAGGTGTGAGTGAGAGAGTGAATGGCTGTTTGTCTCGTTTGTCTCTATGTGGCCCTGTGATGGACTGGAGACCTGACCAGGGTGTCCCCTGCCTCTTGCACAGTGACTGCTGACCCAAAAAGGAAGTAGCGGGTAAAGATAATGGATGGATGGATGGATGGATGGATGGATGGATGGATGGATGGATGGATGGATGTTTCTTAAGGATGTAACATTATTTGATTATTGACCTTATATCTTGAGCTTTTAACGAGGTGAGCAGTCTCTTCATTTAAAAGATACTGATTCATAAAAACATGCTCGACAAACTTCAAACACAAAATGAAACAGCCTGTGAGGCTTGAAGCGTTTATTTAATGAGACATGTGGACCCCGAATGACCTGAGATCCTTTTGATGCCTTCTGAGCAGAATAACTCGTCCAGCTCAGTCAGCCCGACAACATACTCTGTAATGTCTCCTTTTCCTTGTCTAAATACTATCATACTCTGTTTAAACACCACAAAACAGAAGTGGACTGAACCAGCAAAGTGGGAAACAGCTCTGCACAAACAAAACCGATCTGTGTGACTCACAAACACTGTGGACGGCCACATGAAGTGGAGTTAGACGCAAAGTGTGACACACTTGACCAAGACAGGGAAAACAGACAACACAGTCTCAACAATGAAGGAAGAATGTAAAAGAACAAACAAGAGGAAGTATGACTCCTAGGTCATCTAACAGGCTAGCCAAGATTTCTATAAATGTGTGTGTAAGCCTGTGTGTGCAGAGGTTTACCGGTTACACAATGCATAAGAAAGTGTTTGAAAATGACACTGTGCTTGTGTCTAGTTGTGTGTTAGGACGTTGCACCCGGACATTCTCACGAGTCTTTTTCATCATCTGAATTCCTTCTTTATGAAAACCAATAAACCCCACAGGCAGGTCCACATCACCTGAGGCAGAGGTTTGAATGTCTTGACCTCGATGTGGTGATAAAACACTGTCATTTCCTCAAACGCATTATGTGACTGTTGAAACAGATGGGAGATAACATTTGGACAGATAAGGAAAAGAGAAAAAGACAGACAGACAGACAAAGAGCGGACAAACCACATACAGTGTAGTGTGTGTGATCCACCCACATGACAAAGCACAAGGTTTTCCACAGGCAACACTTTGCAACTAATTCTTCCATTTATATTTTTTTCCCTCGAGCCTTCATCAGTTTTTATTAATATGATGTATGATATGTGGAAAAGATGGGAGATGCATGAAAAGTCAGAGCTGTCTTTCAGGAAATTAAAACAACAGGAACAAACAGGAAACTGTGGAGAGGCTGTGGTAAAAAAAAAAAATAAAAATAAAACAAGACAAAGGATGGCTGTGGGGCAAAAGTCATAGAGAAAAATATTGTCTGAGACTAGATGCAAGACCAGGAGCCATGTCTGTGTTAGGCTTTATGAGGTGAATAGTGATGGGGTGCATGGTTACCATGGTAACGATGCCATGGGGTTGCTATGATTCCTGCGTTTTGTTGTTGTGTGGAAGATTCATTCAGTTTGCTGGCCCGGTTGCAGGACTGCAGATGGCTATTTGAGTGTGTGTGTATGTGTGTGTGTGTGTGTGTGTGTGTGTGTGTGTGTGGGTGTGTGTGTGTGTGTGTGTGTGTGTGTGTGTGTGTGTGTGTGTATGTGTGTGTGCAGATGGCTATGCTCTAAACCTGTCCCTCAGTATATGTGAAAAGACAAAGACTCACTCTCAGCATCCTAGTGCTTGGGTTGCTATAGTTACCGCCTCTCTCTACCTCCCTCTGTCTATCGACATTTCTCTGCCTCCAAAATCCTCCCACGTTAGACACATACACGCCACACTGCGGAGGTGTGACCTAAATCAGACGCACCAAGAAAACCCACACTTTCTACTGATGCAGCCACAGATGGCTCTTAAAGAGCATCAAACAGAGCTGTGAACAGGATGTTGAAAAGCACAAAGGTCATGAACTCAAATCCTTCAATCCCTCTATCAAAGCATATGTCTGAGACCACAGCAAACTGTCAGAGCATCAATGGGAACACATACTGCAAGTACGGATAGTTACTTTTAAATAAAACCAATCAGGGTGAATAAATTGCAAGCAACTGAAACATGGCTTTGATATAAAGTGTTTAGAACAATAAAAATAAGTGTAGAGGACTAACAACAATGCTCATAGTTCTTCTAGTTATCCACCTAAACCCACTATTCTAAATAAGACTATGGGAACCTCTTGGAAGAATGCAGCTACCCAGCCTGCAGTGTGTTTGCCATAGCCAACATTGATTGCTGCAGATGTAATAAATATTATAAGCATGCGTAGAATACTTAGTCAGGCATTTGTCTGCCTGTTGTTTGAGTGGACACATCATTCATTTCCTTATCAGTACTTCAGCAGATGAACAGCACAATCCAAAAGGCTGTAACCAACTTCTTTGTGTTCATCCATGTCAGAAAGCAACGCTTGTGTGTGTCTTTTGGTTTGAAAATGTGTGTTTCTTACCACGATGGTTGAGTTTCTGCGAGAGCCAATAGGAGTTGTGGGGAGGGAGTTGAGAGTGGGACTGGTGTTGAACTCCTCGGAGCTCAGGTTGTCTGAACCGTCACTCAGTCCGCTGCTGATGGAGCTGCTCTCATCCCAGCTGAAAGAAACAAACACAAAGGTCATAAATTAGACTAAATTTGTCATTACAGCAGCCAGCGCTTTGAGGTTTAGAGCATTCAAACAAATAGAAAATGCCATCGTTTTTATATAAAAGATCAATTAGAATTAAGTGGACAACAGAGGGAAGTTAAACTCTTAAGTGTTTGATGCACAAAATTGGGTTTTCTTTTCTAAGAGTTTAAATTCCAGAAGAAACATTCACTTTTAGGAAAATGCTCTGTATCAAAAGATTAAAGAGTTAAAGTACTCCAAGGCTACACAAAGGCTTTTCCTTATTCCCTGTAGATGTCAACTAAAATATGATATAAACACCAAAAAACGTGCAATCAGTCTGAGATCATCAGTTCATCAAAAGTCAGCTCACTTGATCCGAGTCTTCCAGTTTGTCTCGTGATTAAATATTCAGAGACCTCATTTAGAACACGGTCTGTTCTAGATAGCAAACTCTCTCTGCGTTCAACAACCTGCAGCCTGAACGTTGGAGCACCACTGAGATGATTCACTTTTAAAAATAGTACAGAAGAACGTACACTGTTGCACAAGCCCAGCGATGTTTCACAACTAATAAGTCTGTTCCCACTTTTCCTGAGAGAAACTGGATCAAGTCGTTTTTACATAGACAGTCCTGCTCTGGTATGGACAATTTTAGAGCGGTTGGTTTTGATTAATTATTGTGATAATGACATTTTATAACCTTTATAAACCACAGTAGATCTGTATCATTAAATTAGATTTTTTTTTTCCTCCCAGCTGTGAGCAGATGAGTTGCACCCTTTCATTTCTAACACAAGTATCTAATGGCACCATCACACAAGGGCGTATTGGGATTATTGTCAGTAGTGAGGATGCAGAACAGCCAAGTTCAGATGGACTTTTCCTCAACACCTGTCGTTGAGTAATCAGTTTTGATTGATCGTTTCTTTTACAGTAGCCTGACAAATGTGGGCATAAACATCTGCAGACATAATGTGAGCTTTGGCTGATTTATGGAGAGGGAAGAGGAGGACGGAAAGAGGTGTGTGGGTTCAGATTCATATTTGTTTGTTTGCATTAAATAGGTCACATTTAGGAAGTCGGGGGGTTGGGGTTTTCTCTCATTGGGGTTAAAGGATTGGAAGACTGACGTTGAGCTGTACTGTAAAGCAAATGAAAAGGGCAGGGCTTGTTTAATGAGGTCATACTGCATATACAGACGAGGGGAGGGGAGCGAAGTGGGCCTTCCAGTTGGGTGCTTGTATGGGTCACAGTGTAGCCTTGGGGGGTCATGATGGCAGTGGGGAGTTGGGGATGGGAGGAGGTAAGGAAGGGCCCTGTCTAGTGTGCGGATGTCTTCGAAACCAAAAGGACCAGAGATTTAACATGTGAAGTGGCAGTCAGGAACCCTGCTCTGTGTAGATGCCAGAGTCAGATTAAGGGCAACTGGGCCGACACACCAGAGAGCCAACTTTGACTTTGTTGGTTGAATAAATGAATAAATGATTAAATGGATAGAACAGTTTTGCAGAAATCGTCTTATTTTAACCTTCAGCTTTTTTATTTTGATGTTAATTTAGTAGAAAGCTTTTTATAATTATCAAATGAGTTCACTCTTTAGACAAAATATCTTGTTCTAAAACTCCATAAGCATTCATTTTTTGGAGAATATAGAAGTGTTCCCCATAAAAGCTGATTTGTTTTTTGTTATTTTTCTCACAGAAACACACAAAAGGTTTGAAATATACTCAAAAAAGATTTTATTTAAACGATATTTTAACAAAGTGGCAGCATTTTGTCTTCACTGGACAAACGCACTGCTGGGAGATAAACGGTTTTAGAAATCCGGCCTCAGAGCTCTCTGCCCATCATCCACCTGTGCTTTAAATGTTAGTGAGGTCTTTGTTGAATAATTTAGTTCAGATAGGAAACAGAACAAAGAGGCTCTCTGCTGGGTTTGATGGTGTCTGTCAGAAATGAAAACAGGAACCAGAGAGGCCAGAGACAACGACAGGGGTCAAAAATAATAAGGGTACCAACAAAAATGTAGTTGAGTTGAGTAAATTAAAAAAAGAAATTAAAAACAAGTATTTACTTTGATAATGGACGATCAAAAAAGCCAAAGCTAAATTCTATGTTTTGCACTTTTTTTTTAATTAAATGAGTTTCATTCAGTGAAAGTCACACATGAATTAAGAGAGACGTTTTAATTTAAAAATAGCTAAATGTTACTTAAAAGATTGCTGGGGGTCAAAATGATCATCAGCTTTCAATGCTTAAGCTATAGTTTGGTTCATTGATGCACACGAGCCAGTGTTTCAGTGATTTGGTTATAAGATGAACTGCCAACTGCAGAAATTATAAATCACTTTCCAAAAGCTCCTTAAGTCACAACTATTTCTCCAAAAGACCTTAGAGGGTATCTGCTGATTTTAAGCCTCTTATGCTTAAACTTTTGGGAACCATTCAGCTTCTTTAAAAGTGTTTTGGCCAAGAATGTTTTTTTTATTTTTTTTTTATTTTTTTAAGAAAAGCTAGATATTTTCTATTATTATAAAACAGAATATGCAACAAATACACCGTCAGTTTTACCACCATATGCTTCTCTATTTGGTGAGATTAGAAAAAAGTCAGAGTAAAAAAAAAAAAAAGAGGTTGACAAGAAATGTGAACACTCCAGTGAAGAAGTGTGCAAAACGACAACAAAAGTATAAAAATAAATGTGCAAAGCAAAGAGAAGAACCTTTGACGACAGCCTTCTCTGAACATGATGCACTTAAAATGTTGCTTTTTGTACACAATAGTTTTTCTTCCTCTTTTCATCTTAAAGCAGATGCTGCTCAGCTGTACATTTGGTGGTTATATGGGCACACAATTCATCCGCATCACGTTTTTTACATCTTGAATTGTCTCACAACGAGCACCATTCTGGTCAAGCCACTTCTTTCCTTAATATTTTACATTTTTTAATTACCTGAAACAAGTTTAATGTAAAGGTTTGTTGACATAATTTAATTTGTTTTGTTTAATAGGAAATATGCAATACAAAGAAAAGAAACTAGAGGAGTAAAGAAGAATTTCTAAATGTAAGGTTTCTTTTTTTTCTTCTGAACCTAGAGCTGATAAGAGCTGCAGAACACGGCTGGGGGGAAGTAAAGACATCTATTTAAAAATGGAACCCTGTGACTGTAATCCTGTGAGCAAAAACAATAGAGATAATGATTTGAGTTAGGCTGCAGTGCACGTCAATTAAGCTGATCTGTGTGTAATAATGCTCATTCCTCACCTCAACCTGACAGCAAACCTTGTGCACAACAGCATCCCTGTGAGCAGAGAAAATGTCACACATAAATGGTCATCAGGAGCCATCTGCACACAAGGGGCTTCCCACAGCGTGACAAGAAGATCCACCATGACGCTCTGAGCAAACGGAGATTTGATGACCTCCCACTGAGGCAGGTTTCAACAGTGCTTTGAATATGACATTTTTATTTACAGAATAAATAAAGTAGTAGTAGTTAAAATAAGCAACACATGATTTCTTTGTCTGCAGAGGGGAGCAGACTGCCACACCCACACAAACAGGCTGTATGAAGGCTGAAGCTGCTGCTGCCATTTATTAAGAGGCTTCTGCGTTATGTGGAGATTTTAATAAAGGGTCTTTTGGTTGCTCATTATGACACCAACAAATGAGAAATGTTCAGACAAATTGAACAAGAGGACAAAAGACTCAACAGTAAAAAAATAAATAAAAACACATATTTGCTTGTGGCTTGTAGGAACAGTGTTTTGTGTGAATTAGAAACCTGATAGCCTGCAACAGCAGACCGACCGGTAATAACTGGTGAGTATGCAATTTACACAAACAATTGTTAAAACTGAATAGAAGCTATTTGGAGGAATGCGGTGCTTCTCTACAGAGCTAAATACTTTTAGAAGCAAGAGACACTTGAAACTTGCACACAAAACAAAGACATTTGTGTCTGTAATCACCGGAACTCACCACAAAGAAAAGTGCATTTCTAAACCCTGTCTTTACTCTCACTTTTAATCATCCAACCTGACTTTATAAATCCTCACCCTTATCCTAACCCCTAACTTTTACCTACCCTATTTTTCACCCTATAAGTCATGGCTTTTTGCATAATTTGCATGCCCTGCAACTTATACGCCAAAGCGACGTATTTATGGATTTTTTTCCATATTTATAAACTGACTTTTGACTGAGATATGACAGTTTTCATTCATTCTGACTGAAAATATTGAACACTACCATTTTCATCCGCTAGATGGCACTCGAGCAGTATGGCATGCCATTGTGTCATGTAATAGGTAAAAGTGGTTATTAATGACATGATCAGCTTGCCATAGTGGCCACCTTTGTCCAGCTTGCTTGAAGCAACTGTCAAACCAGCTTCATTTAGCTGCACCGCTCCGGTGAAATGCAGCTAATTTGACCGTCAAAGTGCCTTTCTTAAGTAAAAGTTAAACCGAGACACACCTTTCTATAAAGTCAAGCAAACGAATAATTGTTTTTATAGGTGGTTATCTTGTTAAATTCAAAGAAATGCACAGCGAGTCGTCCTGTGCATGTGCCTATTTCTGCGTATCGGCTTTTGAAATGCTGCTGATTCTACCGTCAAAGTGCATTCATTAAGGAAAAGTTAGACTGAGAAACAACTTTACTATAATTTCAAGTAAACAAATAATTGTTTTTAAGTGTTAATCTTGTTAAATTCTTGTTAAAGTCCTCCCGTGCACGCTCCCGCAGCTGCCATTTGGCAGCCAATTGATTTTTGGCACAACACCGGTCCACATTTCCAGGTTGTCAGCAGTGACGCATAACAAACGTGACGCGTCAGCGGTGACGCATAATCGATACGACTTATAAGGCGAAGCAAAATATTCATGGATTTTTTCCACTTTATTAGACATTTTTGGACTGATGCAACTTATAGGGCTGTGCGATGTGTATGGCCTAAAATACAGTAATTTAATTAAACT